AGAAACAATGTTGTTAAGTCCAAACGTATTAAAAAAAATAATAAAAAGTCGTTTTTTTTTTATCTACTTCAAATTCTAAAATCAAAGGATTAAATGAAAAAACAAACATGTGGTTCTGTTGAATATAGAGGCCTCCACCTGAACAGGTTCAGCTGCCTAGTTAGTCGTTCTTACCTAGGTCAAGGCCTTTCCAAGAAATACTTCTCTTGTCACCTTTTTACTTCATACCCCACCTCTCCCCTCTCAATATACTAATTACTCTATATGACACCTATTTCCTAGCGCTCAGCGCCTAATCCTGTCCCATTAATCACACTCCTCACCTTCACTACAAGTCATCAGATGTCAACCCTTTCTGAACGCTCCCCGAATATCAATATTCTCATCCCATTTCTTCTATAAGGGCCATGCATTGGACAAAATTATTTATAAGAAATATGTAAATATATCAAAAACTTAATGAAACCTGAGCTAAGCGCCTAAAATGGCATTTAACGATCAAAAGAAACAGTAAGAAAAAGGAACACAATTTCTTTTCTTTGACTTCAGTGTATAATAATAAACTTAAAATTTAAAAAAAAAATGTCATTCAAGTACAAGATTTCAAACCTTATTACTCCTAACCCTTACTTAAAACTTACCTAAAACCAATACAGATCTATATAACCCTCTTAAATAGGAAAATAAAATAAAGTGCTTCTTGAGCCACCTTTTCATTTTGTAAAAAATTTTTTAAATTTTATTCATTCCCAATTCGTCCCTTTTTCAGGTAATCGCTTCTCTTCTGTAGAGACTCAGTACATTCCAAGTCATCATCCAATAAATCCCGTCCTTGTACAAATATATTTGGAAATACCTAAAGAATTATTTTTTTGTGTTGCTTTTGTGTTGTTCTTTTCGTAAACTGTTTTTAGTACATGACAAGGTCGTCAGCCTTACGCACTTCACTTCTGTGTAGGGAGATGCCTCTTACAGCTCTCAGAGTAGCTGCCTTTTATTCAAACCAGTGTTAAAAAATAGTAATATCTATAGTCATCATTGGAAAATAACATACATTTATTTAGTGCATGGTTTATATTCGTATTTTTTTAAAAACATTTATTAATAAAGTAAGTTTTATTTGAAAACGTGTCCTTTGGATAATTTCACCACTGCAAGAGGTTCAAGTGGGTGTCCATAAACGTTTAAGGGCAGACAGGGTGAACACGATACTTAACATTTGAAGTGTACAAAAAAAAATCCGTTAAGTGAAACTATATAAAAGTCAAGTACATACAAGTTTAGGATGTTAATCTTCTAAATACTGAATTTAATGATTCCCCTTTTACTGAGAAATGTTGCATACACTTTATTTTTGTTTATTCCAAATATAAATGTATCTATACTCCTGATTTTATTTTATTTCTTTTAAGCCCGTTTAAGTTTATAATTTCAAAATATTAAATACCGTTTAAAATAAAGAATACTTTAAAAAAACAAAAACACGAAGATGGCACAAGCTTCCATTTAAGTAACTATTTATAAAAAGAGAAACAAAATAAAATTTATTTTGCATTCAGCATTATTTTGAAAATACTAGGTGGTGTCTGTTGGATTAGTTGAGGACACCAGGGTATAACATGCATGTTGAAAATTCGTAACATATTTTTTTTAATGAACACACATTTAGGCCCTTAAGGTAGATAAGATTGATTAAATTCATATGTTGAATCATTTGGTGGAATGTAGTCGGATATTTCCTCATATTTCTTTCATGTGCTTAAAAAAACGAATATCTTTCAATCATAAGAGATTTCAATTTAATTTCGGCAAATCTAACAACGCCATCTAGTGCCCAGCTTGATCGGCCTGTATATAATTTCCTTAAAAGTCAACCATCAGCATAAAATGTGGCGAGTCTAATGCATTAAATAAAATTTAAAGGTAAAGAAAACTCCTGAGGTTTTACCATTGCCTTAAAAAAAATATGGACAAATATAAACAAGACCAAACTAACGAAGAAACATCGTGACTTGTGCAAGTAAATAATATCATTTTAAACTAAACATTAATATTTTAATTTTAAAAAAGAGAATGACACACAAAATCTTTGATCAACAAATAAAGTGCATTTTTTAGATATATTACTCGACTATGAAATCAGAAAATGGGAAGTAAACTAGTATACACGATTGAAACGCGACATATTGAAATGAAAATATAATTTTGGACAGACTGTATATCAGACCATAACGTCCTGATGGTAAGAACTAATTATCAGAAGCGGAAAAGCGTGTGAGGGTGTTTTTAAAATTACCACTAACGTCCATGACTCATTGCGATGTTTAAAGGTTTTTGAAATTAAAAAAAATAATAATAATTAAAAAAAAAAAATAATGGAAAAAAGTGCATGCGGGGCGGGGTAAATCTTACTGTGCTGTGAGTGCTACCTTTAAAACTATATTTGATTTTTATTTCAACTTGAATATCAATGTTATTTGGTAATAAATCCCTAGCCCGAAACTTGTTCAAGAATTGAGGAAAATCGATTGTACGTTTTAAAAGCAATTGATAAAACAGGGACTAGTTATTGAATGTATCCATAATGTAATTTAAGGAATCCTTTTATTATTGGGATAAAGTGTGTAGTTTAATGTATTTATGATTTCCCTTCAAAAGATCTTCTTCTTGTTTGATAATAAATTTATTATCCATTTTTTTATGTGTTTTAGTTGAGACACTTTATAGAATCAGTAAACATATGGTGAGTACCATGTTTAATATTAGACACTTCAAAGTATCAGAAACTATATGGTTCATAATCATCATCATCATCATGTCCCTTTATCCTTGAAGAGGTTGGGGCGCCACAGATGACATGAAAGCCATCCTTCTCCATTCCTCTCTTCTTTCTGCACTTCGCAAAGCTTCGCCTAGTTTTAGTCCCATCCACTCTTTGATGTTATCTTAACATATATTTCTCTGTCGTCCTCTTCTTCTCAATCCTCTCTTTGTGCCTTGCAAGATTTCTTTTGGCGAGCTCTTGTTTTCTTGTCCCACAGCCATACCATTCCAGTTTGAGCTTTTTTATACTCACCAGGAGGTCAGCAAAATGCACAATTGCTTGATCAATCACTTCATTCATTTGTTCGTTAGAGATATGTTCTCTATAACAGATTCCAAGAATGATTCTTAAACATCTCATCTCCAACGACTTTTGTTTTCTTTCAAGATCCGCAGTTAATGTCCAGGACTCAAAGGTATCAAGACAATGGAAAGGACTAATGAGCGCATCATCCTGATTTTTGTGCTGGGGTCTATATGTTTGTCCTTCCATATTTTCTTAAGCCTCTTTAGTGCTGTTGTGGTCTGGGCAATCCTGGACATCAATTCGGGCTTTGATGCTTTTTCTGAGACTATTTCTCCTAGGTACTTGAAGCTGCCTACTGTCTCTCATCTTTTCTCCCCAGAATAATTTCAGTGGAGATGCCGGTGTTATTATTCGTCATCAATTGTGTATTTTCTGCACGGATTTGCTTGCCGAAGGACGATGGAGTCTTGTTGAGACTCTTTACTAGGTTGGCTAGATCGTTTTCGGTTCCAGCCAGACCATCTGTGTCACACGCAAAACGTAGGTTGTTGATTGTTCTGCCACCAATGCTGACTGTCCCTACATGCGCTTACAGTGAATCTGACTTAATTATCTCTAAGAAGTTGAACAGGGTGGGGAGAGAAAGCAGCCTTATCATACTCCACTCCAACCGTGGTCTTGAACCATTCTCCGATGTTATTGTTGAAAAGACTGCACTGGTGGCCTTACCATTAACGGCTGCATATCATTGTGGTTAGGTTTGTGTTGATGTTGTAATGCCTCATGGTGGCCCATAAAGCAGCATGCCAAACTCTGTCGAATGCCTTCTTGAAATCCACAAAGACGTTGTATAGGTTTTGTTGGTGTTGAGCATATTTCTCACTAGGATCTGCTTAGCAGTGCCACGTCCTTGCCTGAAGCCCGCCTGTTCTACGGCAATCATGTTGTCAGTATACGGTTTTAGTCGCTTCAATATGACCTTTAGCTTGACCTTGCTTGGGTTGCTTATTAGGCTAACGGTGCGATAGTTTTGGCATAGCTGTAGGTTACCTTTTTGGGGGAGGGTGATGATGAGCGACTGGGTTCATTATTAGGCTATTCCCCTGTCAGCCAAAATTTTTTTACAAATATATTTAGGGCACTTTTGATTGATTCTCCTCCTTGTTTCATCAACTCGGCTGGGATATTATCCACCCCTGCGGCCATTCCTATTTGAAGGGTTTGGACTCCTGCTTCTACTTATGGGCCGATATTATGGTACTTTTCATTGTCCGTTGCCTAAGGGACATTAAGGATTTTTTAGTCTAACTGTATATTTTCATTATACAGCTCTGTGCAGAATTCAATTAAGAAATTTTAACCCGGTAGCCATATGGTGAGCATCATGTTTCAGCTTGTTTTAAAAATGTGTCTGATTAAACGAGCTTGAAGACTTCTGTTTAGAGTCTTTCAAGAAGACCACTTTATAGGACGATTGACCAGGGCATACACAAGTCATTTTGAATCTCGTGAGCTTTGAAGATAACACGGACTATAGCTGACGAGTAATGATGACCTTTAAGTAAAAAATGTGCAGGTTATTTTCGTACCCTCGCTAATTGATTGCAACGCCATTTAACTTCCTTGTAGCAGTACATACAAATAGGATTGACAGCTATTTGGAGGCCTATGATAGTTATCAGCGCTGTGATACCTAGAATTATATCGAGTGTTTGTTTGGAGCTTTGTTTTCTTTTGAGGACCTTATTATTATTATTTTGTTTTTTGAAGGATAATCAAAACTATTTGAAATATGTTGAACTATTATGAATCTCTTTGTAATTGTTTCTTTTTATTTTCCAAAGACAATGAACAATATGTCAATGAAAAACAAAGAAGTTCCTAACAGTTCAAAGTTTCAGTTTGCTTCATTTGGAAATGTTGTTATTTACATAAAAGATAAAATATTTTTTTTTTTTTTAAAAAGGAGTTCTATAACATGAATATCATTTCAACGTTGATTTTCTTCTCACTATGTTGGCCCCTTGCAAAATGCCAAAGTAAGTTTTTATTCAGCTATGTTTCTGCTTTTAATTATCCAGTTTTGCCTTTGACACTACCATTTACTTTTTTTAAAAAACAACATATTAATCATCTTACTATGTATATATATATATATATATATATATATATATATATTATATATATATATATATATATATATATATATATATATATATATATATATAATACTTTTTAAACGAAATTCTTTTCATACTTATTTACATTAAAATCCCAATTATTTAACAGTGTAACTATGGATACAACAAGGTTACACCTTTATTTTCAGTAATCTAGGACCGACGCTTAAGCTTACTCGAGAGCGATGTGTTCGAAAAAGATAGATCCGTCTCTATTTCATTGAATATTAGGACATATATAAGGTGTTTTAATTGAACATGTAATGTATCTTGCATCTGTTATACTTATCTTGCATCTTCTACTGTTGTTATTTTCTTGTTATAGCTCACTGTTCAGAATGGGGGTGGTTTGGACAAGGTTGTAAGTATCGGTGCCACTGTGAAAATAACAATTGTAATGACACAAGCGGCCAGTGTTTAAACAACGCCAAGTGTGCACGAGGATGGTTTGGTTTGACTTGCCAGTACCGTGAGTAGCAATTTGATTCTTGTCACATGTCAGTCTCAAGAAGATTGATATTAAATAACATAAATAAATAATTTAAAAATTGTTTCAATAAGGTTTTTATATATTTATATCTAGTGTCAAATGAGAGAGGGAAAAAATAAATGGAAGAAATAAGCATAACGTTTAAAGAAGAGACAAATTTGATGTAAGAACGAACACTAGAGAGAGTGAGACAGAGTAACAGTAAGAGAAAGAAATTGAGACAAACAAACTAAAAGAGTACGTTACATGATGGGTCCCTCTTTGGGTCTATTCAGTGAAGTAGGAAGACTATTTATTTATAACTTTACTTAATTTAAGAAATGACCACCTTTTAAAAAGAAAAATATCATAAAACTTGAATAGAGATTGTGTCTCAGTAGCTACATGTTTGTGTGGTTTCCAAGTGCTTTCAACTAAAACACGTCAATTTACCTACAGTAAATTATATCTAAGTTATGCTAGAATATGTTCACTTCAAAAATTATTAGAAGTTTACGGACACAAATAAAATAAAAATAATTATAAACCTGTACACTTATGATCATTAGTTTAAAATTGAAATAATTAACTTACGATTTAAAAAATACATATTTTAAATTTGGCTTTGTCCTTAGTTTTATATTCTCGCTGCATGTGTACTTTTTGTTATTTCAGAAGACTTGGCGACTATTTTAAGTGCAACTGTGACAACTAATCCGAGGCAAACTGAAGATTGGTTGACCGACAGGAATGATGATAATTGCAACAGATATTCAAAACTTAATTCTATTGGAGTTGCTTGGAACAGTCCTCAGAGATTCTCTTGGCTAAAAATTGTTTTCAAACATGCTACAAACTATGGTATTTAAAAATATGTCTCTGTAACTAAACGCATTTCTACCAATCTAACTATCTGCCTAACTAACAAATTATCTAACCCCTTATCTAACACTACCTACCTACTTACCCAAATATAGCTGTAAACTTTAAAGTAATCATAATAGAATTAAAAATTTAAAGACAATTAGATTGCGGCCGCGGACAAATAAAACAACTCATGTTTGCTAAAATTAGGTATAAAACGTAAACAAATTATGAAAAAATGTCATAAATGTATCCTAAACGGAATCCTGAAACCTTAATCTATCGATATCGGAACCAGGGTTTGACCCTTTCAGAACCAGGATTTTGTCCCTATGGGAACCAGAGCTTTGACCCTATTAGAACCAGGGTTTTGACCCTATCGGAATCAGTATTTTGACCCTATTGGGACCAGGGTTTTGACCCTATCGGAATCATGCTTTTGACCCTATTGGAACAAGGGATTTAACCCTATTGGAACTAGGCTTTTGGCCCTATCGGAACAAGGATTTTCACCCTGAAAACTAGGAAAATTAACAAAAACAAAATGGCAAAAAATAATTATAAAATAAAGAAATATTTAAAACCCAACTAAGGGTTTCGTGGAAATTACTTTTAATCACTTTATTTCAGGTTCCAACGAAAATAATATATCCAGAAAATAAATGTAACACCTTGCAGTCAGTTTCAAAGATGGCGGAACACATAAAAATATTAAAATTAGCCAACCAATGAAAATTTAAAATTAATGTTAATCAACCAATAAAACTGTTCTATCGTCATATTAATGAAAATGTAATTTTATTAACAAAAAAATAAGTGGAGTGAATCCAAAACATCAACTTAAAAAAGCACGCAAATGCCATCGGGGTGCTATCATTCCAAACTTGCCCATTTTCTTTCCGACCTCAGATTAGATGACGTTTCGATTTATATTGTTTTTATTCCTTATATTAGTAGTACAAATGGTAAAAGCGTCATGATTTTGAGCCGATGTTAGACCATGTGGTAAGCTATTATTGGTGCACAATAAGGAATATATTTCCTGTGCGCTGAGCATAAGATACCTATGCAACACGGAAGCAAGGGTGAGTTTTGAAAACATATACAGAACTTTGGGACCCTAACAACACACGCTAGGAAAGTCACGTTTTCTTATACCTGTTAACTCTCTCTTTCTCTGTCTCTTTCATATCATATGACTAAATGCCGCGATGTTCATTTCCATACTCCTATTTTTTTACTTGTTTTTGATTTCGTGGAACCACCTTATGTTAAAGATTCCATTCAGTTAACTGACCATGAAAGTTTGACGTATTTTCAAATCTTTCTTCATTGACATCCATCTTTCTGACGCTATATAAAAGAGAAAAAAATAACTTTCTGATTATTGACCCTGTTTATTTTTCTCAAAAATTCCAATTGTCTGCATGTAAGGCAAGGGCCCATCCTTCTTCTAAGTTCTTTCAATAATATCTATCTCACATCAATGACGTCATATTTTTCCCGTGCTTAGATTACTAGCAGACGCTCGTTTCCTTTTGGGCTTGGCTTATTTCTTTTGATCTTTTTTTTTTTTTACTACACAACAATCTATCGCTTGTTCGTCTTGACTCAAATGGGGTACAACATTGTAGTAAATTATGAAAATTTGGAGAAGATTTGAGTCACGACTACAATGTATAATCTACCCTCGAATCTTCTTAGAAACAGTCGATACCCATATATATAAAGCCGGGGAGTTTAAAGACGGAGGAGAGAGATTGATTGGTAGATATTTTTCACTTCACGAGACAAGTGTATTATTCTTTGAGTAATCATATATGTTTATTCGCATTCATCATTGTATCTTATTTTTGTGGCACATTGTACTAACTGTGTACCGGTACAAGACGTCCCATACTCTATAAGTTGATGATTGTAATTATATTTCTTTTGTTTTGGAACTATATTAATGCTTAAAAAAATCTAATTAATTGTAATTCATACTGTTTTGAGTGTCATATTTTTTCTATCGTATTTCTCTATGGTATTGTCCTTTGTTAGGCACTGTTTAAAACGAGCCAAGAACTTAAAATAAGAGATTAATTTCTCTCTATAGAAGGCAGTGCGTAACACTTACCTACAACGTCCTCGCTGTCATAAAGCTATTGTAGACATCTTAATCTTTGCCCGATTTTATTTAATGATTTTATTTATATGTAAACTTCTAAATCTTCTGTTAATCTTATATTCTTATTATTTATTTTCTTTCATTAGACATTTTCATAATGAAGGGACCTAGCATTTCCTGTCAACTAAATATCTATATCAGCTAATTTTGTCTGCTCTCTCTATTTTGCTGTCAAAGGCTTCTAAACTGAAAACACAACTTTTTGTAATGTTCTTCAGGTTTTCCTCTGCACTGAGTATAGTTATTATTGTTTCCGACTGAACACAGTTGTCCAGCTTAACTCATTACACGAGCACACTTTGTCCAATGCTAATTTACTTGACGTCGGAACATTGTGAAAAGTATCATTCTTGAATAATCATTCCTAAAACAGCAATGCGCTGTTGTCTTCTTTTTTAGAATTTTTTTTTAAAGGCCCCAGTTTTAGTGAAAGAAATGTATTATGGGTAACACATTAAATAACTCATGAAATAGGACAATTAAGATAAATTACAAAAAATAAGCTGTTTAAAATTAGTTATTCAAAGATAAATGTGAAAATTGATATCCCCTTTCATTTGGAAGCTGCAAAACGTTTGGTTTAATTCTTTACCTCTGTACCCAGAGCACAACTATTCGCTGTCTCTAAATATTCACACCAAAATCCGAAATGTTTATTTTGGCTTGACGAATCCCATTAAAGATAATGCTATTTAAGGAGCCAGTTGATAAAATCATTCAAAGTATTTGAGAAATACCTAGTTTCAAAGTTGTAAGATTCCAGTCAGTCAGAATTTTTTCCACATTTTTAACTTCACTCTGTTTTAACCTCCGTCTACCGTAATCATTATCACAGCTAGCCATAATCAGTAGCTCAGTCAGCCATAAGTAGTATCACAGTTAGCCAAAAGCTGTATCTCAGTCATTTATAGGTTGGTGTTAGAGTTGCTCACCCAGTATTTGCAGTATCTCAGTCAGCCACAAGCGTATGTCAGCAAGCCATAAGCATTATCTCAGTCAGCCATTATCAGTATCTCAGTCAGCCATTAGCATTATATCAGTGAGTCATAAGGAGTATCTCAGAGAGCCATAAGCAGTATCCAAGTCAGCAATTAGCAATATCTTAGTTAGCCATTAGCAGTATCTCAGTCAGCCATTAGAAGTATCTCAGTCAGACATTAGCAGTATCTTAGTCACCAATTAGCAGTATCTCAGTCAGCCATTAGCAGTATTTCAGTCAGCCATTAGAAGTATCTTAGTCACCCATTAGCAGTATCTCAGTCAGCCATTAGAAGTATCTTAGTCACCCATTAGCAGTATCTCAGTCAGCCATTAACAGTATCTTAGTCACCCATTAGCAGTATCTCAGTAAGTCATTAGCAGTATCTCAGTAAGCCATTAGCAGTATCTCAGTAAGCCATTAGCTGTATCGCAGTAAGCCATTAACAGTATCTCAGTAAGCCATTAGCAGTATCTTAGTAAGCCATTAGCAGTATCTCAGTCAGCCATTAGCAGTATCACAGTCAGCCATTAGCTGTATCGCAGTCAGCCATTAGCAGTATCTCAGTAAGCCATTAGCAGTATCTTAGTAAGCCATTAGCAGTATCTCAGTCAGCCATTAGCAGTATCTCAGTAAGCCATTAGCAGTATCTCAGTCAGCCATTAGCAGTATCACAGTCAGCCATTAGCTGTATCGCAGTCAGCCATTAGCAGTATATCAGTCAGCCATTAGCAGTATCTCAGTAAGCCATTAACTGTATCGCAGTCAGCCGTAAACAATATCACTTCAAACGTTTTTCTCTGTTTTATTTTTTTAAACGGTAATGTAATGATCATAAAAGATGTAACATTCAATAGACACCTTTTAATCTACATTAAAATTACATAGCGAGGCACATATGTAAAATTGTTTACTTGACTTATCATATGCATACTCTTTAATGCAAACAATATTAGATTCATCTTGGTATTTTGGCAATAATTTTTAATCGTGCAAACATTTATTAACAATTATCTTGTGGAAATCGAAATTCGCCTATTTAAGTGGTCAATTCACCACATTTATAGATTGGTGTTAGGGTTTTTAACCAAGTATCTAGACACATGAGAGTGAGCATTTCCAATCCTCTCACCCCCCTCCCCCGTGTTTCTAATGTCCTAAAATAATGACTTTATCCATTGCCAGTGTTAAGCACTAGCTTCTGTTGTGAGAAATTAATCTCTTGTTTTAAGTTATGGCTCGTTCACACAGTGCACAACAAAGGACGATACTATAAAAAAAATACAATAAAAAAGTTACGATTGGCAAAAACAGTTGCCAATTACAATTAATAAGATTTAATTTAGTAAAAATACAATTACAAAACAAAAGAAATATAATTACAAATCATCAACTTACAGAGTATCGGAAAATCTTGTACCGGTACACAATTAGAACAATGTGCAATTAATAATGACGAATGATGAATGCAAATAAACACATATAAGTACACAAAGAATAATACACGTCTCGTGAAGTTAAAATATCTATCCGAATCTCCGTCCCTCTGTGTGCCTTTCAATCCCTTACATATGTAGATCTACCGACACGTCTAGAAACGCCTTTACTTTATAAAACAATCGATAACCTTCGACAAGATAACAGTTGACCTACTAACCATGTTTAATTGGAAGCCGGTAGTAAACAAGATACATCAAAGAGATTTAACCACGCCCACAACAAACGTCACCGTTTGCAATAGTCTAATGCAGGGGTCAAAGAAAGTTCAAGCTTGGGAAGAGTGTTGTAAACAAGCTTACATAAAACTAGCTTTGCCCAAAACATTTGGTAAATTTTGATAAATTATATGTACATTTTTTTCTACAATTTTAATTGATAAAATGATAGTATAGTAGTTATACGTAACTATCAATAAACGTAGTATATTTTTTTATACAGTCAATACGATAACTGATGTGAGTTTGAAAGAGCTGATACATTAAAATACCAGCTTAACACCGCGTATGATGAAAGACATGTATGATAATAAAATGTATTTAAATTTAATGATTCACTTTAGACTCAAACGTAAATTATTCCAGCAATATTTAATTGTATGACATAATAGACTAAAAACCCGATGTTATCGGGATAATAATGGTAGATCCTTTGCGATAATTTCTAACTGCTCATTTTGCAAAGACTCATCAAAATTCATAACTTTAAAAATGTAATGATAATTACGTTTCTAACATCATTAAGTTTTTTAAAGTATTCATCTTTTATATATTATAGGCATACCCTACTCCTTTTCACGCTCCTAAACTACTTTTTTCACGCGCTAAATATGACCTTAAATTACACAATATAAATTATCACTAATTGTCGAGTATGAGCGTTCATTAGGAATTGTTGCGACTCAATATTATGTTCATTAGTTGTTGAACGCTTTTCCCGCGCTTGACTATTATAGTTAGTGAACGCTCTTCCCGCCATTGTCTTTATGACGTATTTTTATGCTGAGTCGTGACGTATTGTCTATGCAGTGTTGTGACGTATGTTTTAGTCGTGCGGCAGTCTTGAGTGGAACCTTGGAGTGATAGGATGTTTATTATATTTACTTAGATATTAAAGTTATAGTTATTATGAAAAGGAGTTGAGTTTGTTAATTGATAGTGAGAATAGTACGACGCTTCAACGTATGAAAGAACTGACGAATGTAATCAATCCAAGAAGACGTGTAGGAGTTGACACTAATTATATCACTTTTGTCATTAAAGCTGTTAATTGGTGGACAATTACTACTTTAAAGAAATACTTTAGATTTACCCCTTTTCGTGCACTTGAATTAAAAAAAAATTTTAATGTAAAAATTGTTTAAAAAACTTACCTTAAATTTACACCAAAAACTCTGTATATGACATAAAATATTTTATATTATAGGAATTCGATATATATTGATATCTTCAGAAAAAAATTTAAACACATTTTTTTGCCGTTTAAAAAAAAATTAAATATCACAAAATCGTAAAACAAAGAATTCTTTTATCTAAAGAAAAATCGCGCAAATGTTTTTCAAGTCTAGATCAGATTCGAGTGTTGTTGTTGTTTTTTTTTAATTTAAATGTTTAATCTCATAAAATACACATATCTTTAATTTTTGCAAAGAAAAACAAAACTATATATTACGTTTTTGAAAGTAAATATTCACCCATCTCTTTTCTTCAAAATTAATTTTTCAAATGCGTAAAATGATTGGGTTTTGATATTAATAGGTACACATATATAAATGTACACAATATTTGTTAACGCCATTGGTTTTCTTGATTGGTAAACATATGTATATTTGCAAAAATAGAATGTAACATTTCTTTTTCACATATCTAATATCATAGGAGTTAACTATGTTGTCAACCACGTAAAAATGACACATCTTATTTCCTATCTCCGACATGTATTTATCCAAGAAAATTAATTATTTATCGAAATCATTCCTTTATTTTGAGACGTATGGTGTGCTTCCTTGCGCAAAATGAACATACACATAATTGTTAAAAGAGAATGTAACATCTCTTTTTTCCAAAATGTAATACCATAGGATTTAAATATATTGTCATCCGCATAAAAATGTACACATCTTATTTCCTACCTCCGAAATTTATCTACCCAAGAAGGTTAATTATTTATCGAATTCGTTTCTTTATTTTGAGACGTATCTTGTGCTGCCTGGGATAAAGTAACCAACACCTCCCCACCCAGATTAAAATGACTTTAAAAAAAATTCTTCCACCGGATTGTAGTGCCTTCCATACCCAAACTAAAATAATGTGCAGCTCATATGTTTCGTTCTTTTTTATTTTAGTTATAAGTGGATTAGTCAATGCTTTTTTGGGTATGGAGTTGCACTGCACTGTTTGACTTAAACCGCATTTTCTTATTAGAATGATATTTAAAGGCTATTTTTTATTACTTTATAATTTTAATAAAGGTATATCTTTTAAATGAAAAAGGCAACTTTTTTAAAATGTTAAAATATACACAGCTGAAATGTGTGTGTAGTTTATTAACAATTTAAAAAGCAATCAATTGTATTTATTAATTTTACATTTAAGAAGGAAAAATATATTATCAGGTTTGTCACGCATTGTTATCAAATTTTAAAGAAACTTAAGAGTTTTGGACAAAAAGGCTATTCGCACTATGACGTCATTTGCGGGATTATTCAGAACAAATTAATTTAAAATTTTAACAACGCACTAAAAGACGCACTAAAAAACGACCGGTATTTGGGTTCGCCCGATAAATGTGATTGCGGTGAAATTCTTTGATCATCATTTTTTATTAAACAAAATTTTTTTCAGAACTTTTAAACACATTTAAAATGCTTAAAATATTTCCTTAATTGATACTTTAAATGTATTTTTAATTTTAAAAAATAATAATTAAACGTTTACTAAAATAAAAATGGATTTAAAATATTTTTTGCACATTTACATTTTTTCGTTTTGCGTAAAATAATAAAAAAAAATTACTATGATTATTTTTTAGGAATCCAAACGTTCTTAAATCATATCTCACTCTAGGCGTTATGTCACCCTAGCTCATTCTTACATATATGCTACGGTTAATTTGAATAATAGGACATTTTTCATAATGCCCGGGTAATTTAAAAAGTGCCAAATAGGATGTGTCAATATGAACAATTATAAAGAAACTATTACATTGCCCGGGCATTATGAATAATGATGGAAATCGAGTGGGCAATTTGAGAAAAATTTTATTCATATTTCTCAACATACAAAAATAAGAGTATATTACATATTCAAACACATTTTTAAATGACTAACAAACAAATAAAGATACAAACTAGTGGTGATAAAATAATGAATAAAAATGCAAACGCCTAAATAAAAAAAATTATTAGATATGTACTTACAAATACATATACATACATCATGTCAAATCCTAGAGTTTCTATTTATTAGAGCAACTTCCACTTTGGTGACATTTCGAGTTACATAGCATTTTTCTTTTCTTTACGGTACTTGCACTTGTCAGATTTACAGCCACATTTACATCGACTATAGCGTTGGCCCCCAGTCTTGGATGACATTCTTTAACATTCTCTTAGTGAGATCTCGACTGAGGAATTTCTTCAGCATAGATAATTTTTTCCTTCCATATTGTAAATTGGTTCCTAGCATAAAGTTGATTTAAGATTCCATGTTTCATGCCTAATTTATAAATATTGGATCTGTTATTTCAAGACCAAAAGCCTAAATATTTCATCCATCGGTTCGACCTCTGTCGACATCTGGGACTTGAGCTGACCCCTTATAGCGGCAGGGTATTTTGAATTAGAGGATTGAAGCATTTTTTTTCAGCTTGTTTATTTAGATTGCTTGCTGAAATCTCCCTAAATCTTTAATATGTCGGATTTTCTTTTTTTTCACTTTGGGATCAACTGAGAAATCTTCATAACCTTCATACCTGCGTTTTCCATGACCGGAGACTTGAATGTCAGATTGCTCGGAGACATTAATTTCTCTTCGTTGTTATGGAAATCAGAACTTTGTTCAGATAACGAAGTTAAAGGTTGAACAAAACTGTTATGTTGACTTGGACCAAGCTCCACTAAAGAATTTGACCCTGGTTCATTTTGCAGTGCATCTTCTTCTACAGAATGTAAATTGTTTTTATCTTTTACTATTACTTCTAAGTCCTCTTCACAATTTATATTAGGCAGGACGTCTTTAGGTAGAACAATTTTTCTGCTGTTATTGTCTTAGAGCAACCAACAAAGCATATTTTCCACTTCCTGATTTTCACGTTCTACGGAACACTAATGTTGAGACTTTCTGGGCTTCCCATGTACCATCTTTAACTCAGGCCACATGCTACATAGTTCGTTAATAGTATTGTTAGCGAATTCTCTCCGATTATCACTTTGCAAAATTGTAGGCGCACCTAAAATGGTTAAAAGATCTAAAGCATATATGCTACTTCTTCTGTTCTTTTGATTTTAAGAGGTTGAAGTTGAATGAATTTAATGAAATGGTCTTGGTATACAATTAATTAAAGTGACAAGTGAAATAATAGTAGTATTTATAATGACCGGGCAATGTAATAAATTATCCTAGATTGTCGTAGACAAATACAAAATTATTAAATTGTCCGATTTTATCGGTCATTATTCATAATGACCAAACATTATGAATAATGCCCAATAATTCACATTGCCTGTAACATATATACTTTCTGGATATTTCCTATTGAAAAAAATGTGCTATATGCAATCACATTCGGTGACTGAGCGAGCATCCCTTACGCCTGTAAGAAAAGTAATCAGAATAGCACCGATTCGAGGGATATTACCAAAGTCGTTTCGACGTCTTCCAAACTTGTTGTAAATATACGAATTGAAAAGAGTTTTACATTTTTAGTTGATCAATTTAATTTTTTTTAAAATTTAAATGAGCAAAGTTAACAGATTGAATAGTGACATGACATTTTAGGCTATTTTCAACATGAAAAAAAAGGATTTGGGGATCGCAATATACAAGTGAATTGCTTTATACGCAGTAGTATGTGGTACAAAAAAAGACGTTTAAGAGCTCAATGAAAAAATTACGGGACTTAATAGGATAGCAGCAGATACCAGCTCATTAAATTGTACACTTAACATAGCCTATTTCAGGTTGATACATTCGGGCGAGCTATTTAATTTGTTTACGTAAAAGTCGACTATATGTGTAACCGGTAAGCCCAGTGGAAGTTTTAATAAGCCCTTATTCAAAACGGTGCGCATTCAAACATCTATCCAATGAACAGTTGTGGGTGTTCGTTTGATTGTTGGAGGTATTTAAGAAAAAAGCTTTCGTTCAACAAAAGATTGGCTGAATAATGTAATTATATTCTTTAACTATACGGAAATACATGTTTTACAGTTTTAAGAGACTACAGTTACTACTAAATAAATTAGAAAATGCGTATGTTTGTTACGCATCCATTTCTACATGGATTTAAGGATGTTAATTTAGAATGGGATACTTAGTTTTTTCCCTTCATTAGTCACAAAAAATTGTTAACGGCGTTTGATTTTGTTTTCTTTATTTATCGCGTTCACTGTCGGGGGCCCAAACTTTCTTTTATATGCTATTTAAAAATATCAATTTAAGGGATATATTTAAACTCATTTGGTACAGATGCACTTAAATATACATCATTAAAAAAATTTAGGGATACTAATTTTATTTTCCAGAAATACGTAGTAGCTCTTACATTTTTCAATCAGAAACCCTTTAAATTTTTAACGTGACTATTTAAATTATGAATTATGTCCTGGTCATCATCTTAGTGATAATTAAAACGTCACTTGCAAGCACGAGTACACCCCAGGGCCCTTATTTTAACTTTAACGGAATACGTCTAGTGTTAAGGCATTTTTGTATTAAATTGTGTTGAAATAATGAGTACATATATGAGTTATTTTTACACGCTATTCTGCGTTGCACAAAGATATTAAGGTTGAGGGGATTAAGGATCTGACATTTATGGTGGTTTCTGTGAGTGTGAGGTAAAAGAGATTAAAGAGTTAGAAGAATTTTCATTTAAATAAAAAAATTAATTGAAGAATTACATTGTTAGTGTTACAGGCTTTGGCATAGTTTTCTTAGTATTACTGGTTTTGAGTATTTTGTTATAATTTTTTTTTTCATTGTAAGGGCCAAATTTTAAAACAAATTACATTTTCAAAATCCTATAACTGAGCATAACTATCTCAACAGGAATTCTCCTGATGTTTAAATCCATAACGCAGACCAAAAATTATCTTTAAAAACAAAAAAATGAAATCGGAAAACACGAATTTTTGGAGCGATTTAGGTTGTTAACATCAATTATTATCGTTTAACATACGTCAACACATCATAGACAATATAATCTTTTTAACATTGAATGTGAGGATAATTTAATTTAAGTGCTGTTTCACATATTTAGCTTTTTTTTTAACATTCTACTTTTAAACCATAGCCTCGATGAATGATATATCCTTAACTTTCACGACGAGTGGAGGATATGACATCCAGTGTCAAAACAAGCAATCCTCATTTGTTGACACTAACGCAATGGTCACACGGTGTCATCAGAGGGAGGAAGTTACAGGACTAAAGATTACAGGAGCCGGTGTCAGTTCAATGTGCTCTCTTTATATTAGCGGAGGTGAGAAATGTTGACACGCTAAGAGGATATTGAATAAAATTGAGCCTTGTGTAATTTTAAGTCTATTTTTAAATACTTTATATTAACTTCAATTTTGTTCGTGTTTTTGTTGAGAGCAAAATCTCCGGATGGCTAATTGACCCCTATTCCCGTCATCCTATAAACAAGCGTCTCGTGGCTAATAACAACACATTCTTTTAAATTTTCAGCCCAACACTCAAAAGTCAGTTTTACCGCTACCAGACTCCAATATCACGAAATAAAATTCCCAATAACTTTGCTAAATGTGATTCTAAAAAATATCGCAGGTGCGTTTGATGGGAAAAATTTATATTATTTCACAGAAATAGTTGGTGTAATAAATCAGGGGTGTAAAAGTGGGAAGGGAATTAAAAAAAAAATATGTGTTTGCGAGCAATATGGGGGGGGGGGGGGGGAGGGCCCGGATTGGGATTCTCGAAAAGGGCTTTACTTGTTTGCATTTTTTAGTTTACATTTATTGTTCTATAAACACTGTTCTTTTTTGACTGATCAATACCAGTTGCTCGATATAACATTTTATTCGGCATTTGAAAAAAAAGTTGTTTACAGTTTTTTTTAAATTAACCTGGTTCTTCCGAAATGTATATCATTTTACTTCGCTTTCAATGATATATTAAATAATGATTTTTGTTGTTGCTTTTTTTCCTTACCGAACTGACGACTAAAATAATTAAATTTAATTAAAAACATAAATGAGAATTGGACTTTTGATTAAAATATTTATTTTTATTTGTTCCTTAAAATATATTTGTGTGTATATTTTCCACTTACATTATCGTCTTTTGAAAACAGAGGGGAAAAGATGCAAAATTAAATAATGTTAATCAATATTGATAATAAGTTTTAAGATATATAGAAAAAAGTTATTGAATTTCATTAAATTTATTTTTTATTTAATTAATAATGGTTATGGTTTATCTATTTCTGTTAAACACTTGTGTTCCCAATTTGAACACCATTGTATATTTTTATGAATTACGAAACAGATTAAAGGAATGAAATTCCCTATACTAATTTTTTGGGGACATCTTAATACTTGTTTTTCAGGTAGAAATGTAGCTTTAAGACAGCAAACTAATCAAACATCTACTTATGGAAAGGCGACATCTTTTAAAGCAGTAGATGGTAACACAAATAACGATTTCCACGGTGGCAGCTGCTCACATACCGCTGTAAATTCGAACATCATTCCAAGATGGACATTGAACTTCGATTATCCAGTGATTGTCAACAGAATACTTATATATAACAGATGGGGCATGTATTTGTCTAGCCATTTAAAATTATCTTAATTTTTTTTTTTTTAAATTCTATCTTGAAAAGTATTACATTATGATGTCCATGTTAAATGATGCAAACTTTATATTCATCCGTTTCTCAGTAATACAGTGACATGGGGGTAAAATTTATTTTACATGTGTTTACGCATTACATTGCAACGCAATTCCTTTTCCATAAATACAACATACGAATAACAATAGAATTGCAATCTTAAAAGACGCACATATGTCTAATTTTATAAATAATTTAAGCTATTTTTAATGTTCAAGTGAAAATTTAAATACATATCTCGTTAAGGTTACTAGTTTTGGTTGTCGATTATAATTTTTGTTTTTTAATATATAATTTCCATCCATTTTCCTCCAAAAAATAACAAGTGACGCGTTTTTAATGTTCTTAATTTGGGGCATTCTTACCTTTCTGAATTTCAGATAGCTGCTGTAGAGATCGTTTAAAGAATTTTAATTTAAAAACATTCGACGAGAGATATCAAAGTGTTGACGACATCAACAATGATAACTCAGAACTGGAGGTGTACAGTGTGACTTTTAAAAATAGTGAAACAAAAAATGCAATACGAAAAATACAGATCAGTTCAGCCAGTTCTACGACAGTTCTCAGCCTCTGCGAGGTGGAAGCTTATGGGGGTGAGTGTTGTTTTAATTTACTTTGGTAGACACCGTTTTTATTATTTCCTTTTTTATTACACACAAGACGTATATATAATGTTGGTAAATTAGAACACACTGAATGTTAATTACACATTGTTGTGCACACCACATTGTTTGTTGTGTAGTTACGTCATGTTTTCATGCTGTCTTGTTGGTGCTTGATGTAAGTAGGACTCCATGTTGTTCTCTTATAATAAAACGTTTAACTAACCTTGGTGGTTGCCTCTGCTTGTTTGATAATCTTTCTTGTGAAGTAACTGAGAAATTTGATATTTTCACCATATAAGAAATCATTGCGTTTTCGCGAGACGATGGAGGAGCTATATTCACTGCAGGGAATTGTTCATTAGGCCAATCCTGGAATGGCAGTCTCCGATACATTTCTTGCAGGAGAATATTGACTCCTGGTTAGATTTGGCCATCGGTATTGTTCTATTTGGTGCAAAAGCCTCGTTTCGTGGCTCTTCCACCTTTTTAACTCTTTCATACACTGCTGTTCGCCAGCTTAAACTTTGGTCACCAATGATCTTCCGTTCATTTATTTCAATGTTGGCTTCCGTCATGCTACTTTTGCAAACGTCCATAAATCGCATCAGTGGTCGTCCAATAACTCTTTCCCTTTCTGCCAACCATTCAGCAGATCATTTGGACTACGGTCTACCTCTATTATCCTTAAATGTAATGGCCTTACAACCGAAGGCTCCTCTAGGTAAGAACTGAGAATTTGCTACACATTTGTGCACGTTTCAAGACCTCTGTGTTAGGCACCTTTTCCTGCAATTTAATGTGTAAAATGCGAAGCAGTCATCTTTGATGGAAGCTGTTAAAGTATCAACTCATGACTGGTGTATGTGGTCCACACTTTGCTGTGATATAGGAGCGTACTAAGCAAATATACCTAATAGACACTTAGTTTTGTTTCATCAGACTGAGATTATTTCACACCCACTTATTCAGTTCAGCCATAGTTTCTGATGCTTTTATGATCCTGATGTTTACCTCTTCGTCAAAAGAGAGAGAACGAGAAATCAAAGGTCTGTGAAATGCTCAACAACGGCCAATTTTGTTTTCTTTAGACTAATTGAAAGTCCAGTTTTTTTAAAGCGTGTGATAGACGATTAACTAGCTGCTGAAGACATTTTTCTGTGTGGTATTGTAAGGAACCTTGCTTACTATCTTATCTGATTAACTTCATCTAGATCTGGTACTCAATAAGGAAAAAACTCCAGTAATACATTTGCTGATTAAACTGGTGTTCTTTATTTGGTCTGTCACTTGCTTACACTTTCACTCATCTCCCAACTCTGACTTCTCCCTGCTATCTAGTTTCAGTCCGGCCACCTTCTCCGCTAACCATCCGGCCACGCTCTCCCTTCGTCCCGTCCAGAGATCCCTATTTATACCTCCCTGTCCCATAGTTCCTCTCCCAGTCCAGATTATACCCCGCCCCCTTTTTCTCAATTGTCGGTCTAGACGTCCCAGGTAAATGCCCTGGTCAGATGGATGGTCGTGTCTGGGTGTCAGGCGGCCGTAATTGGTCAGGCCTTTGATCCTTGGGTCCGTCGTGCTCCACAAGCTTGATCCTTCGGTCAGACGGATTACGTCAGGCGCCGTCGTGGTCCGGCGCTCGTGCGTGGTCCGACTCTCCACAAGCTTAGGTGGCGACTCTCCACAAGCTTGATCCTTCGGTCAGACGGATTACGTCAGGCGCCGTCGTGGTCCGAACTCTCCACACTATATAAAGGCGGTATTAACAATCAGCTGTTCATGAATTAGTACCTTTTCTACATGGATCTTTTCAAGAAGGCGTGCGATAATGAACAGTCTACCAGCAGATCTGTTGTGTATGTAAAATCCATCTTCACAGTCACCTGAAAGGAAATTGAAGGTGCATCGAGAAGAAAATTTAGAAGAGTGTAGGTATCAGTACACAACCTTGTTTTACTCAGCTGCTGACTGGAAATGCCTCAGAGATTGGGTCATTGAAGGCTTCTGTGCTTTGCATATTTTTATAAAATGACTGTATGATTGTTAGGAATCGTGAGGGATAATCTATTCTGTGCAATATACTGAACAGGCCTTTAACAAGTCAAGTGCGTAGTCAGATCTATGAAAGGGCATATTTTGTTCATGACACTTGACCTGCAATTGGCGTAACGAGACTATCATGTCTATAGTTGATCACCAAATTCAAATGACTTTCCAACCAAGCCAAGGAGAAAAATTACGGCAACAATTCATGAAATCCCTAGAGGTTTTTTTTTTTTACTGTGCTTTGTTTCTTGTCGTACTTCTATTCGTCCTGTTTGCTCAAGAAGGCTCATAGCCAAAACCTTTACATCTTATCGTTCTGTCTCTTGATTAATGCTTCAACATACCTTGTTTACTATTTCATTCACATAGCTTGAATGAATCCTTTTAATTATAATATATTTTTCCAGCCTACGCACACTTTCAGAAATACACCTATGAAAAACAATTGATAATTCCTTAATAATTATCGACATATAGCTCACCACTTATAACAAATTAACTGCATTAACAAATGAAGTATATATATATATACATATATATATATATATATATATATATATATATATATATATATATATATATATATATATATTGTAAGGAAACCTTGCTTGCTCTCTGCTAACCTTCATCTATATCTGGTAATCACTAAGGAAACAACTCAGGCGATAACATTTGATGATTAAAATCGTGTTCTTTATTGGGCTGACACTTCGCTTATACTTTTTCTAATCTCCCAACTCTGACTGTCGTCTTCTTCTACCGTCGGAGCTCTCTCTCTCTGCTATGTCCGCTTCTCTGTCCGTCCGCCTTCTCTCCGTCCCGTTGAGAGGTTCCTATTTATAAGTCCCTGATCCATAGAGTTCCACTCCCAGGTCTGTACTAGCACCCGCCCCTTTGATCAGCCCGCCCCTTGATCAGTCGGCAAACAGTCGTCCCAGGGAAATACCCTGGTCAGATGGCCGGTACCGCCCGGCGCTTTGATCAGTCGATCGTGATCCCTGGTCAGATGGCACCGGCTGTACCTGGTCAGATGGCCGGTAACCCTGCTGCGAGATCTGACGCCGCGAAACTAGTCAGCTAGCACTAGGGACCAGTGATGGCACCGGCTGTACCTGGTCAGATGGCCGGTAACCCTGCTGCGAGATCTGACGCGCGCTTTGATCAGTCGATCGTGATCCCTGGTCAGATCTGACGCCCCCGGCGCCGTCGTGGTCCGAACTCTCCACAATATATATATTTATATATATATATATATATATATATATATATATTATATTATTTAAGTTGGATTTATATAGCGAAGTATCCAAACCCAGGGCTAGGCTCATTGCAATTTACATAAAATGTAGCAATTACAGAGAATTATACATTTTAAAACAACAATTTGAAAAGCTTGACCTCAGCCACCTTAGTAATATCTACAACCGTCTAGCCATGGACAGCACCCAGCAGCATGGAGTGTTGTTTATCAGTTAAAGAGACGTTTTAGAATGAGTCGGTATAGTATAGATTGGTTTTGAGAGTAGTTTTTAAGGCTGGGATGGTCGGTATACTGTGAAGAGAATTCCATTTTTTAGAGCACAGAAAGAGAAATATCGTTCACCACATGTTTTATTGCATGTTGTAGAATACGCGTGTCGGCAAAGAAACAAAGCTTTTGATGGGCAAAAAGACAGAAAAAAGTTCAGTAAGATAGGAATTGCAGGTACCAGAGAAAAGGTTGTGACAGAGAACACATAGCTTGTGATCAATGCGTGCCTATCAAGGGAGCCAATTAATTGACTTAAGTAGTGGAGTGACGTGATCACGTTTCTTAGCTTTTAGAGCTAACCTAGCAGCTGAACTTTGAACTTTTTGCAGTTTTTAAATGAAATTTGTTGGTGAATCTGAAATAATAACAGTATTTCTTTCACGCAGTACTATTAAAAGAAAACATCTTGTGTTTGTGGGAGGATGTAGTTAAAAAATGAAAGCAGGACGCCCCAGAAACAAAATATATAATAGTGTATATTTGAATATGTATTTACTATAACCATGTACTGCTGAAACTTTCATCTTTCTATTTACAGTTGATTATTATTTTGTATTTGACATTATGATTTCTTTAAATTGTGAAAAACAAAATTGGTATTGACTCTCCTCTTTACTTCTCGAATAAATAATCTTGTCCATTGCCTGCTTTTAGTATACCCTCAAAATGTTCAGCCCACTCTCCAGTACTTAACTATTTTACGTAATTAATTCTCGTCGTGGCTTTCTCCAATCTGAGGTCTGGCTTGGTGTTCTTTTTTTAAATCTTTTATCTTCAGGCACAATCCTCTGATGTTAATAATTGTATTTCTCTTAGTTGCCAAACTTTTTCCAATTTCCTTTTGTCTTTTAAACAATTCCGTGGCTTCCTTCTGGCTTTATTGTATATTTGTCTCGTCTTTATGTTTCCTTTTAAATCTTGATCATTCAGGCCTTGTTCTTTTTTTCGAAAGTTCCAATGCATTCATAATCAAATTAGCTACTCTAATGTTAGCTAGCTAAAATCCTACCATGTTTTCATATCATTTTGTATTCAGTCCCACTGTTCATTTATGTTGTTTTCCGTGTTTATTTCCACAAATTACACTTCTAGTTGTGTTGCATCTTCATTTAATAAGTTTTTGTGGCTAGTAGGCATTTGGAACGTTTTTGTAATGGTAACGTTTTTCTCTTTAAACAGTTAAGGGTTGGACATTACACAATTATTATAGTTCAGGGTTGGAACATTAAAATATTAATATATTTAGGTTTGAACTATTCAAATATTAATGCACTCAGTGATACACTCAGAAATTGAACAGAAGTTCTGACAAAACGATATACAACTATTCTGACCACACAATACTTCAACAAACGCTTTGCTGCTGACCAAATTTGGGAAAGAGTAAATTCTGATGGACTTCCAAAACAATGTGTGCAATGCAATCAAAACAAATTTCAACTTATTTGGATTAATAAAAGCATCTTATCTTATCTTAATTACAAAGAAATTTTTTGTAAACAAAGTTCCGACAATATTGTTTAGAAGCGAAGCAGAGGTTGCGTAAATTTAAAATGTAGGTAGATACCAATATGTTTTTGATAATTTACGTAAAAATGTTTGTTTTGGTCTACATTATTTAGTTTAAAAAAAGTTCTTAAAACACAAACATGTGAGAATCATAAATATCTAAACAAGGACATCTTTTTAAAAAATCACGAAAGTCTAATTTTCTATTTCATAAACATTCATGACAAGGCCATTTATTTATTTTCTGAATGTATAATATCAAAACTCAGCTAATTTACATATTTAAAATTTGAATTTTAAAAATTAATATAAATTTTCTTCAATCCCGACAATATATATATGTAAATATATAAATATTATATAGATATATATATAAGAAGGAGCTAGGCTCATCATAACGCAAAGGAAAGGAAGCGATTTAAATACTTTCAGATTCTTTAAAACAAGGATAGTGATTTTCTATTATTTTATGGAAATCAAATAAATTTAAATGCGCAACAAAATATATATCCGCTTTTATTTAAATAAACGTTTAGCTATATTATTATAAACTAGAATTAATGACCCGATGTTATCGGGATAATAATGATAGTCCCTTTGCTATAAATTCTACCTGCTATTGCAAAACCTCATCACAATTCATAACTTTAAAAAATATAATGATATTAAGTTTCAAACATCATTACATTTTGTGAAGTATTTATCTGCTATATATTATACGTCTACCCTACTCCCTTTAACGCTCCTAAACTACTTTTCCCCCTTTAAACATAACCTGTCAATACCCATTCTAAATTATCACTAACTATATCACTTTTGTCACTAAAGAAGTTAATGCAGGGACGATTTCTACGCTAGAGAAATACTTAAGATTTACCCCTTTTCCTGCCCTGAATTAAAGTTTTTTTCTCTAAAAATTGTTAAAAAACATCTTTATTTTGAAACAAATACTCTATATATGATATAAATATATTTTATAATACAGAAATTTGATATACATTAATATCTTCATTAATATTTGAAGACACTATTGCATTTTTTAAAAATTATACATTATAATAAAATCGTAAAACAAACAATTCTTTTATCTAAAGAAGAATCTCGAAACCATTTTTCACGTCTATAACAGACGTGTGTCTTTTTTAAAAATTGTTAGCCTCATAATAATAAACACTCACTTTACCTTTCGCAAAGTAAAAACAAAAATTTATTTTCATTTTTATGAAAGAAAATATTAACTTGTCTCCATTTTTCAAAATTAAATTTTCAAGTGTGTAAAATGATTGGATTTTGATATTCATGGGTATACCTATTTTAAATGACCCTCGTTATTTTACCGTCATTGATTTTTTTTATTGGTTAACGTATGTTTATTTATTAAAAGAGAATGTAACATCTCTTTTTCACAAATGAAATACCATAGGTTTTATATATATTGTCATCCATTTAAAATGTACACATCCTATTTCATACCTCTGATATGGTACCCAAGAAGGTTATTTATTAATCCAATTCATTCCTTTATTTTGAGACGTATCTTGTTCTGCCTGGGGCAAAATGACCAAGCCCCCATCAAGATTTTTCTATTAAAATTAATACAATCTTCCACAGGATTATAGTCCCTTACATACCCAAATTAACATATTCTGCCCTTCATATGGTTTGTTCTTATTTGGACGAGTTATAAGAGGATTAATGAATGATAGTTTGCTATGGAGTTTCGCTGCACTGATTGCCCTAGACTGGCATTTTTCACTAGAAGTATATTTAAAGGTTAGTTTAAAAGTAAACAATTTTAAAAGTTAAAAATACAAAGCTTAATTATGGGTTTGTTTTATTAAAAAAATTAAAAAGCAATCAATTATATTTATTAATTTTAATTTTAAGAAGGGAAAATACATAATCACTTTTGTCACGCTTGGTTATTAAACCAAAGAAACCTAAGAGTTTTGGATAAAAAGGCAATTTGCTCTATGACGTTATTTGCGTAATTATTTAGAACAAATTATTTATTTTTCGCTATATTACCAACGCACTAAAAGATGCACTAAAAATAACGGATGTTTGGGTTTTCTCGATTATTGCGATTACGGTGAAATTCTTTGATGTGAACTAGATTGTGAATGTTGGGTAGGGGGAGTCGTGAATCGTGAGAGTATTTTGTGAGTTGTTCATCGTGAGGTCAGAGCGTGAAGTTAGTACGTGGTGTGGTACGTTTGTGTAGGCTGAGTTGTTTGTGTGGTAATATAAAAAGTGATGTGTGTTAGCTAGAGGTCAGAGAGAGAGAGAGATTAAAGGTAGAAGAGCAAGAGAAGAATTGTTAGGCGCCAAATGTTGTCAGACAAGAGTTAGTCGAGAGTAGTGTTAGGAGAGTGGATAATTGGTAGTTGGACTGATGTGATTTCAACGCGCCATAGCATATTGTCATGAATAGCAGTATCCTGTTTTATAAAGTAATAATAACATATTATATTGTTACACTGGACCTTGTATTTTATCTGAGAGATTCATACACCCTAGACACCATAAGAAGGCCGTAACATTTCAAGTGTAAGAAAGGTCGTAACACAAAGAAACCTAAGAGTTTTGGATAAAAAGGCAATTCGCTCTATGACGTCATTTGCGTAATTATTTAGAACAAATTATTTATTTTTTTCGCTATATTACCAACGCACTAAAAATAACTGATTTTTGGGTTTTCTCGATTAATGTGATTACGGTGAAATTCTTTGATCTATATTTGTTTATTAAAAAAATGTTTCTTCATAACTTTCAAACAGATATAAAAAGCTTCAAATAGTTCCTTACTTGACAATTTAAATTTTTTGCCTGAGACAGCACAGGACACGCAGCATAATGGGTGGGGGGCATTTTACTTGTTATAGCCATATCTCAAATTTGAATTAGGACTTAAAATACGATGATATTAAAAATTAATGTATGTTATAACAATTAATGGAAATAGAGTTCAATGGCTTTGATAAAGGGTAGGTACATTTTCATAAATAAACCCATTCCTCAAATAAAATGGAAATGTAGACAAAGCGGACTCGATTTTCTATATTTTCCTAATTTTTTTTAAAAATACAGTTCAAATGAGAGGATAAAGGTTTGGCACAAATTTATAAGAAATAATTATTTATTTATTTAAAACTATGTATTATAATTGTTTCTTTTGAAAACTTTATTAAGTGCGAGACATAAATAGCCAGCACATTTTTATGTGGAGCTCAAACTGCAATCATTTTGACCACATGAAAAAATATCTTTAAAACAGATTGACGTTTGCATAAAAAAAATATATTTTTACTAGATGTAGCCCGCCAAACATTGGCGATGGCAATGCGTGAACTTACCATCTACTAAAATGACCTGACAAGAACGTGGACTCATGTTACGCACATTTAAGAATGCCAATTTTGCTACACCCCCCTGTGGTGATCTGACTTATGACTTATTAGAGAGGAGTGTCTCTCGTATGAGATCTCCTCTTGGCACTCTGTCTAGGGATATGTTATTTAAGCCGAATAACCACACGGACATAACACCTATCTATATACATATAGTATAGACTGAAATGAAGTCTTAGTTAAAGGTGAAATTAACTACAAATATTTATTACACAATAATATTTACAACTTCCTATGTGAAACACTCGTGGTGCTCAATGTATATACATCAAACGGATTTCATCCAATTAGAGAGGTACATTAACACAAAGCAAGTGTCCCTAACATACAGACGGTATCATCATTACTACTGCTATATTGCTCAAGTTCTATGCTCGATCTTGGTAAACTTAGCCTTTATAGTTTCTGTGATGGTCTCGGTGAATCACACAGTGTGGGAGTCCTTCTGTTCAAGAAGCGTGTCCCTGTTCCGGCCTTCGGTGCTGTTCTGAGCGTAGCGAAGTCGGAGTTCCCGGTCGTAGAGTCCTTGGGATGTCTGTGTTACAAAACTACTATTATGTGTTGTAATTAATTATGTTCGTTCTGACCCAATTATTAAAAGTATTGGGTTTGAAATGTTTAATGTTTGTATTAACAAACAAAGGTCCCTTTCCTCTACGTAAGATTAGTACTGCTATTATGGTTATGTCTAGGGTACGATTAATTTCCTGATGAAGTATTCTACACTAATCCTACTTCACACTCACTCTATCATTCAATGAACTCTCACTAGCTCTCACTTGCAATTCTAGTAATACTTTAACTATACTAATAACACAAGAGTGGTTCAGCCCACAAATAAATATTTAATTATAAAAAAAAAAAAACAGAACTATCAGCATACACATTAAATATACTATACACATAAACAGGATAACAAGATACTGCCCAATATTATTGCATAGTAGGCTCTCAATGGCGATCTGGTCGAATAAGTAAGTCCCACACACACACACCACAGCAGCCCTCTGCTCGGGTCACAACGTACTGCGGGGTTGGGCGGCTTGACTGCGTAGGTGTCTCCGGTCACTGGCACTGCGAGGAGGTAGGTGCCGACTTTGAAGTTTACTGTGGGTTGCACACACACAGCATATGCTACCGTCTTGTTTGATTCCTTTGACTTATCTCCTGCTAGCCACTGCGCTTCCTCTAACTGAACTGTACTAACTTTAGTTCCAAATATTATTTATTGAACTGTTACAACTCTGACCAAATGTTATTTACTTTACAAACACTTTCTGGTCAAATATTCTTCACTGGCCAAATGTTACTTACTGTAACTTAATTCATGTAATTTACTTCATGTAATTTACTTTACTTTACTTCAGGTAATTTTACTATTACTGGGTGTAATTTACTTCACTTTACTATTACTGTAATTTACTTCAGTTTACTTCACTTTACGTAACTTCAGTTTACTTCACTTTACGTAACTATACTTTACTTAACTTTACTGGCTAGAAATGAGAATAATAAATACATTGCATAAGACATAGCTAAGAATTACAAATCACATCACATTATAAATTATTAATAGTTATCATATTCAAACATTAACAATAGTAACTATGGTCCTACCATTTTCGTAATAACATTACATCTACGACTCTACATACCAGTACACATGAATATGACAGTGAACAATACTAACCCGACACAATCGGATAAACACACTTTATCAGCTAATTATGCCAGCCAGGCTCTTCTGACATAATTCAGGTAAGAGAGGCCGATACATGATTTGGGCTTTCAATATATACTCTAAGTTTGGCGTGCTTGTCCCGCATTTAAGCGTGGCATCCCAGAGTCGTGTTTAAATGACTCACAAGCGTGGCTTCGGATTCCGTTACGCGTTGGTCATCAGAGTGACAACTCAGAGTTGGGACGCTTGACAAGAATGAGTGTATTGCTTAAACTGGGTCATGGCCAAAGTGAATAAGTTAATTTCCATTGTTATTTGAGTCTACTTTTATTATTTTAAGGCCCAGCCTAATTGTGTCATATCGCGTGGGGTAGCGCTGAACGCGTGGGGAAGCGATGGAGAGAGTGGAGCCAGCGGGTCTCACAAAGGTGAGGACCAGCGGGTCTCAACAGTCTGCGAGGGGAAGATGACTCTCCCGCGATGAATCGTGGTGGTGAGAGTCCCTGGATCTCGAAGTCCTAGCTGTCATGTAGTTTGGTGTAGGATGTAGATCAATCCCCTAGTTCCAGCTCAAGGTAAGTCGGTCCAGTAGAAGAAACCAGGTAGTACTCTAGGTAGCAGTTGCAGTTAAGTATCACGCCAGTGAAGTACTAAGTCTAGTCACTTCAAGCGTCCACAATCAAGTGATCAGATCTTAAAAGTCATGTACTTGCTAATATCCTAGGATGCAGTTATGTATCATGCTGACGAAGTTCTGAGTGCAGATCCTTCCAGCATTCACCTTCAAGTGATCAGATCATAAAAGGCAGAATCTTGCTTGTTCAGGCTATTTATTCGAGTTCGATGACGATTAGCTGATGGTTCAATTGGGTGATTCAAATGAGGGGTCATTTTTCCATCCAATGAAAATCACTTTCACTGTTGCGGGTTTGACCTTCAACCCTCAAGGTTAATCGGACTGAGGTGACCATCCTTTTTCAGGCTTTGGCGTGAGTTCTCTGTCTAGACAATGCATTTCCAGCAAGGGACGATACTCCGCCTTGCTGTCTACAGGGCAAAAATGAGGGGGGGGATGGTATTATTTCCTCAAGGTTGTTCGGTGGGTTGGTTGACCGCAAATAGCATGTTCGGAGGGGGGGTGAGCGAACTGATGCAGGAATACAATATCACAAGGGAACTCACTCGTGCTGAGCGACGGCGGGGCATCTTGAGGGGAGGGAAATGAGATATTATACAGGGGTTTACGATGAAGGAAATTTTACAAAGTCCAGCCTCAGATCGTCACACCCCCCCCCCCACCTTTTCATGATACGTCACGGCACACGTATTTTACGGTGACCCGCGGCTTAGCATACGTGAGCTGGCTGGTAAGCGAGGGTGGTGCAGGAAAGGAGGGCAGTAGCTCCAACGCAGTGCGCATGTCTCGAGACCAATAATGGGCAGGCAAGGCAAGGGAGGGGAGGGTTTGCCTGCGTCTTGCTTGCTCTGGCGTATCTATACATAGCCTGTGTGTTGTTTGACCCTTCTTGTTGTTTGACCTTTGCAGGCGAATAATATAAATAGATTCTTATGTCCCAACCACTTTTAAACCGAATATTTTTTACACAATACTTAAATTGAGATGATTTCATTTCCTAAAAAAAAATATTATGCACCAAACACAATTGCGTTATTAAAAAAAAAAAGATATATATCATTTAGCGTAGTTATTGGGAATTATATTTTGCACGCTAGTGAACTCATTATTTAACCCCACTCTGGTGTATCTATATATAGCCTGCGTGGTGGCTGTGGTGTTTCACCTTTGCTGGCGAATTATATATATAGAAAATTAGTTTCTTTTTTATGGAGTGGTGCTTTTTCCTCCAAATGTAGAGACTTTGTGTGGAAAATCCTGAACAGGTCTGTTTAGCTGCAACCTTAGCTACGCCATTGAAAGGAAAGCAAATTTAAACGGGATGATACACATCTTAAGGTGGCATTTTGACGGATACCCTTAAGTGTGGATTTTGTTTTCTTACGTAACCAATTGAAATCATTTTAAATTTGAGACTTGACTGCCATTATATCCTTTTTTTCCAAACATTTCCATTGTTAATTATATTCTTTAAACTTTGGGATTATTTTGTTTACATTTGATAGTAGAAATATTTTCATTTTCATTTACTGAATTAAATTGCAGACACCAATATTGCAGGAACGATTGTTTTATCATCTCCATGATGTCTGTACGAAAGTTTATATCTATATAGTTCCGATGTTTCTTCTTCTTCTTCTTCTTTATCTTAAGGGCCCACGATCAATTTATTGATCATTTTGGCTCCTATGCATGTAGATGGGATTTGCAATGTTTCTGTTACTGGTGGTGATGAGGAAATTATGCACTAGGGGTTTGAAGGCTTGAGGCAATAGACACAACTGTGTCTTGTGTTGTCGCCTCAACTGTTCCTTTTGAAAGATGGTTCCAGTCCCTGATTGTCTTGGGCAGGAATGAGCAGCTCCTATACTGGCTTCTTGCATGTATGAGCCTGAATTTCCTGTCATGGCCTCGTCGCTGTCTATGGGGGAGAGGGACGAGTTTCTGTTTAATACTGGAACAGTGGACCAGCCCATTATTTATCTTGTACATCATGGAGAGCCTGGATTGTCGTCGTCGTTTCTCCAATGTCTGGCTTCTTGCTGGTATGAGCCTGAATTGCCTGTCATGGCCTCGTCGCTGTCTATGGGGGAGAGGGACGAGTTTCTGTTTAATACTGGAACAGTGGACCAGCCCATTATTTATCTTGTACATCATGGAGAGCCTGGATTGTCGTCGTCGTTTCTCCAATGGTGACCAGCCTAGTGTTTCTAGCATGCTGCCAACACTAGAGGTATTCCTGTAGCGGTTTAGGACAAAGCGAGCTGCTCGTCGCTGGACCGCCTCCAACCTGTCAATGCTCTTCTGGGTAAATGGGTCCCAGACTGAAGATGCATAATCTAAAATGGGACGGATAAAGGCTTTATATGCTCTTTCTTTCACACAGGAGTTGCCAATCTTTAGATTTCGCCTTAAGAACCCTAGGGTCTTGTTTGCTTGGTTATATACATTGTTAATATGCTAGTCCCAGCGGACCTCTCTTTGAATGGTAACACCCAGGTACTTTACGGAGGAAACTTGCTCAAGAATATGGCCGTGCAGTTTGTATTGGTAGTGTAGAGGAGTACAACTTCTATGTTTAATCACACATATTTGTTTCTTTCCTCAGAATGTCCTCCCAGAAAGTGGGGTTTACAATGTAAAGACAGTTGCCCCGCTGAATGTACTGACACATGTGACAAAGATACTGGCTCATGTAGATATTGTTACGGTTACCGCAATCCACCATACTGCACTACAGGTTTTTGATATTATTATTTGTTAAAAAATTTTTGGGTCTCATTTTTAACATTTTTTGTAAACTTTCGTGTTTAGTTAAAAAAATAGTATCACTTCTGTTTTAAAGCAGTTCAAAATTGCTCTTTTATCCACATAGGTTTTATTCATATTTAAAAGTTTCAACCTTTATACATCCAGTACACAGTGCGATCTAGTTAGATAATTGTATAATTTTAGTACATTGTATTGACCATTATTTCAATTTTATACTTAACTAGTCATTTTCAAATTGTATTTTTTAAAAGTTTATGTATACAATTTACCACAAATAGTATGTATTACAGTAACAATCCCGATAAAGGTTTGCATGTACACTATATTCATCCTTTCCCACGTTAAAATCACCAAAATATCTGCCACACATTAAAAAAAAAATGCATTCTTACTTAAATATTTAATCTATATGTTTTTAAAAAGTCTATATTTTTAATTACCAATCGTGTTGTTTACTTTGATCTAACACAATGCTTGAAAGCAATAACCGAAAAGCCATATTTTTTGCCATTTGAAATTATTAACTGTCTTGTGAATTAGCCAACAAAAAGCATTGCAATAACGAAAAAGATTCAGTATTACCCTAAGAGTGTTCACCTGTTAAAGATTTAATGTTAGGAGGACATCGAAATAGACTATTTATTATACGTTCTTAAAACGTGTATCCATGTCTAAAAAATCAAACTGGCACAGACACTGTTGTTTTTGAAAAAAAGGCTTTATTATTGTGCTGAAGTTGATCTCGTTATTCCTTTAAACAGTATAAGTATGAATTTTGCGATATCTCCGTAATGATTTTTAGATTGTTTAGTAGGTTTGATGAAGTATTATCTTTATGTTTCTTGTGCGTAACATACAAAAATAAAAGAAACACCATCAGCAACGTAAGAATGTGGGTGTGGAAGGAAGAGTCCACAAACCGAAACCGATTATCTTCTTTTTTTGTTTTTGACTGGTGCATATTCGTCCCAATGGAGAATTTTACGGTGGAAAAATCCTGAAAATTCACGCGTTGCAGAAACCCTAGCTTCGCTTCTGACTGAAATACAAATTTGAACGGGATGGGATACATTTTTAAGAGTCTTCTTGATGGATAAAATAAATTGTTATTTTTTTCTGCCTGACATAATGCATGTAAAACATTACACGTTGAGACTTGACTAACACTGAATCCTTTATATTTATTTCCTAAAAAAAAAATAAAAGATCATTTTTCATTGTTAATCACATTCTTTAAACTTTTCACTTATGATGCGTTCATTTCTTAGAAGATAGATATATTTTCATTTTTAAGATACTGAAAAAAATTCCAGACAGGAATGAAGCAATATTGTTGAAACAATTGCGTGAACATCTCCACGATGTCAATACGAAGTATGATGTATATTGCGTATTCTGTGAACTATAATTCTGTTTGTAGGAATATGATCGTGGTAACTGATATAAGAAGAACAGTTGGACGCCAAATTGTTAAGAATATGACATCCGTTCACTTAATTCAAATGATTAAAATTACGAAAATGCATATTTATTCTCATTTTAAAAAACAAATTAACATTTTAAGCTCTGCTTTCAAGTTGCAGAGAAATTCAGATGTCCTTAAGGGATAGAAATTTGAGATTTACATGTAAAATGGTTTGGGTTGTGTCTTTTGATATAGTTTAATAGGTATAAAAAATCTTCTGACCTTTTCATAAAAATAATTAAAATAAGTGTGAAATTTACTTGATGTGAATTTATGCTGATAAGAATTCCAGCAAGGCATGCACCTTTGGAAAATTATGGTACCGTTTTGTAAATGACATACACTTAGTTTATATATCTTATTAATTTTAGTTTTACTAACTTCCTCCGTTTTAGAGCAGTATATTTATTATGATATGAACTTTGTAGAAATCATGTCAAAACATTTTTTCTTAAATATTTGTATACAGCGTATGGAATGAAGGTTTTTAATATAAAATGTCATATTGTTCGAAAATTCCATGCATTTCAATATTTATTGATAGCATAAATTTAGTATCTAATTCATTTACATGTCAGGTTGCACCTCGGGTAAATACGGAAGAAACTGTGCCATAAGTTGCCCAGCAAATTGTGACTATTCTGGCTGTGATCCTTTTACTGGCAATTGCAAAATGTGTAATTCTGGGTACCAGGGCGACTTCTGCGAAAATGGTACTACATTTTATCTCTATTTCTATATAAATACAAAGATAGATGCACAGTATTCAACTAACAAGGTTTTTCTTTAGTATATTTCTATTTTACTCGTTAAAATCATTTATAAAATTCAAACACACCTTTTGTGAAATTTTGCAATGACTTACGATTTTCAATATTTCCCCTAACCCCGGCCCGTAAAACAACAATAGCAACAACTATTCTTTTAATTTTACATTAACTGAAATTGTGATTAGCTTTTCAATAATGTGCAAATCTTTGGTTTTATTAAAGGCAACTCGTCTAAGAGAAAACAAACTCTGAATTCAAACTAAGAGCCAGAATGATCAATAAATTGATCATTGGCCCTTAAATAAAGGAAACGAAAAAAATGAATTTCGGTCTAATACTGTTTCAGGTTAGAACAGGAAATAATAATAATTTAAAATCAAATCTAACTTTTAAAAGATGTTTTGTAAAAAAAAAAAAAAAATAACGAAATTAATTTTTCAAATGATCCCATTGCAATCTGAATAAATTTGCAGATATATTTTTACTATTAAATCCCTGGGCACCAAAAATAAAAGAAAAAAAAAAAAAAAATTTCGGTATAATACTGTTTAAGGTTAAAAAAAAAAAAAATAATAATATAAAAACAAATCTAACTTTTAAAAGATGTTTTGAAAAAAAAAAAAAAAAATAACGAAATTAATTTTTCAAATGATCCCATTGCAATCTGAATAAATTTGCAGATATATTTTTACTATTAAATCCCTGGGCACCAAAAATATATATATATATATATTTGCTGCTTTAAAGCAATGAGTAACTGAGGTTGGATAACGAAACAACAACACAAGGTCCCATTAAATTCTATTTGCCATGTAATAAGTTAAGCGCTTTATTTGAAATAAAATGTGGACAATTACGTCTCACAAATATAGATGTGGATTTTTTGTTGTCTGACATAGACATATATTTTAAAAATACATTACGAAAGGTATGTTTATTAACTTTTAATAAGTGACTAAGATTTACGTAGACACTTGAATTGTAACATACGCCTTTTTTTTATAGCATTGGTGTTTATAAGGAAAATACAATATAGAATCTTCTAACATCATTTGGATTTTTATATAAATGTTACAAATATTTTTCTATATAATTTAATCACATTTGAGAACAATCATTGAGACTTACAGAAACAAGCGTAAGCCGAATCATTACTAGTGCCAGTAAAAAAATCTAGATAAAATCGTTTTGTTTGTTGCATTTAAGAATCTTGTAATGAATGTAAAACATTTTCATAATTTTATTACAAATGGAAAAATTTCTAAGGACTGAAATTGCTAATTGTATAGAAAATTGCGCCTTTCAAACATTGCTCTACTAATAAAATGTACAAACAATTCAGTGAAGTAGTTTTACTAAATGCGGATTTTGAACTAAATCACAATTTTAACATTTTTACCTCACGACAAATTTCTATAATTTAAATTTAGTAATATTTTTTTTTAAAAAGAACCCCTATGTCTGTTAGGCCCTAAATATTCTCAATTACTCTTAAAAAACGCCACGATACAGTGTAATAACTCTAATATAATATAAAACACTTAAACCAAGCATTGAACATAAGATCCTAAAAGTGTTAAAACACGTATTTAAATATAGTTAAACAAATATTTTATTCCTTTTAGCACCTAATCTTTTGTTGAAAACGATGTGTCCAATACTATTTGAAAATATATAGAAAACAGTTATTTTTCAATGCGTGTAATAAACACAATTGCACCGGAACTCTTCCCATAATTTATAATGTTTAAAGGCGCAACGTTCTAATTTGAGGCTTTTTAAAAATTCGTACATCAAAAATAATTTAAATTGAATGTCCCTCGAATATATTGGTATTTATTTTGTTTTTAACTATTTAAAACCACTTCTTACAACATTTTTAATTAGAGCTTTAGGGATAGTGGTACTAAGACCACACTTTTCAGGAACCATTTAGTGGTCAGTTGGAAAAAAGGTATCAAATTTAGTTGCGATGTAATGTTTATTTCTGGTTTTTGATCAACCTATCCGCAAATAAACATTGGGCGTTATCAAGTAGGTCAGGAAATTTAACGGCAAAAATATTGCGATTCCTTGTTAAAAACAGTATTTTGCTCCACCTTTGTATATTCATCTCAAACATTCAGTAAATGATAGAAGTTTGTCCTCTTATACTATTTTTAAATAGGTTAATGGTAAGGTATAAGTTGTATGTTCTTGTCAAAAACATCAAAGTGTATTATAATTTGTGAGAGTGCATAATTTATAAATTCATCAAGTTCATTTCAAGTTATTGAATATTCGTCAGAAACGGAAACGCATTATTTAATTAGTGACACTTTTATAACAACGACAATTATTTAAACAAAAAAACAAAACTAACCTACCTATATATTTTTACCATTATATTCTAGGCTAAAGTGATCGTCGTAAAATGTCAATTAAACTACTTATATAATTATTGTTAGCTTTAAGCTCCATGTGATTTATTAACCTAAGCAAGCACTGAAATCTATATGTACAATAATTTTAATCAAACTGTGCAACATAAATTAGTAAACTAATTTAATCTTGTTTATGTTTTGTATGTGTATCAACTTGACATTGCAAATTTTATCATTAGGTTACCTTTTTAAATATCATTTTTTCTATAAACTGATTTACAGTGTGTGAGCCTGGAAGATGGGGCATCAACTGTAATAGAATCTGCGAGGCCAAATGTTTCAACGTTTCATGTAGCCATAAACATGGTGATTGCTTACATGGCTGTCTTGGTTACAGCAATCCTCCCCAATGCTCAATTGGTAATAATAATATAAACGCTTTAAACATTTTATGATCTACTAGAAATTAATTATTAATCAAGAAAGTGCAATTAGTAACGAAGGAAGGGTGGTTTGTTTCTGAAGGCATATTAATCTAAATACAAGTAACAGAAAACCTAAATCTAATAAATTAACCACACATTTGATACCAAAAAATTAAAAAAAACAACTGCGTGCCTTAAAATCTTTCTTTTAAAATCGTTTGCTAAAATGTATTCACAAATATGATAAAAAAACAACTTCGTGGCGTAAAATCTTTCTTTAAAAACTTTTGCTAAAATGTATTCACAAATATGTAAGCAAATAATTTTGTTTGGTGATGTAGGCTTTTACTATAAGCTAATGCTGTTGCCGCTGACATATCGTCCATCTCCAAAAAATATCTTTACATACATTTTTTTTCTCAATTTGAACTTTGCCCATTGTTCGTGAAATTCAAATACGATTTGATAAATAAACCGCGAGTTATAAATAGCAGGAATATTGCATGCGTTCACTTAAGATTATGAAAATTACGAAAATGATCGAATTGCAAACAAAAAATAGAATACTTACTGTTAGCTCTTCTTGCGAGAGTTCAGAACGCTTCAAATTTTTTAAAAGAGATACGAGTTTTTTATTTACAATAAAACTGTATTAGTCTTGTATTTTGGTGAACGGCAAATCACAAATAGGGGCTAGAAACAAATGAACTGGTTCATTTGACTTTGAAAGAAATTTGTGTTTTAATTTTTAGGAGGTTACCAAACAAATGGCCAGGGTAATTGACATGTCTCTTTGTAAACAATTCATTTTTTGAGAGCTTTAAAGCAAGAAGTTTGCGTTTTGGAATACAATTATTCAAATAATAGGAATAAATAATACATCGCAAGTCTTTGACCACCGGAAATTTTATGATGAATTCTCACTTGTTAGAGCTTCTAAACTTCTATCGCACAAAGTAAAATAAAAGTAAAAATTGGTTACAATAAAGCGCTTTATTAACTTAGAGCTCTTTATTTTCTTTGATAATTTGTTTGATTTAATGGTCTTTAATTGACAAAATGTAATTTATTTATCATTAAAGAAGCATCCACTTTTCGTATATACAATTTTTAAAAAGGCACTTTATCAATAATATGTTTTTCTTGAAGCGATGAGGTGTTTGAGATTTTATAAATGGGTAGAAATATGTATGAACTTTTACGTCACAAAAGAAAATAAATCATGTGGGATTTTGAAAATTAGACACTTTTTGCTGGTAATTATGTGCTGCGAAGAAAGGTTATTTTCAAAAGTGAACGGACCTCTTCTATAAATACATTGTACGGTTGTTGTTTTTTTATCAAGTATTAAATTTAATGTTACTATATTTTGAAAAAGATTCACATTATGTTGATTATGAACAATTCAGGAAGGATGTCAATATTTTAAATTATCTTATTTAAAATATCTTATTTTGTCCTAGTATAAATGTATATACTATATAATGTAAATTTTATACATCTATGTTTTCGTTGTTCGAAATTTCAATCCATTGCAATATTTATGTATTTATGTCATTTATTATATAATCCAATTTAATGTCAGGTTGCAAATCAGATAAATACGGAAAAAACTGTGAAAGAAGTTGCCCAGCAAATTGTGACACATTGGGCTGTGATTCTTTTACTGCAAAATGCAAACATTGTAAAGCTGGTTACAAAGGGGTCTTCTGTGATAAAAGTATTTATATTATATAAGATGTTTTGTGTGCTATTTTTACATAGAAAGATGTGCACGTGCAAATGCTATGTTCTTGTTAACAACTGAATGTGTAGAGTTAAACTCCCATTCTTTTAAAATCTAACATGCAATGCTTAAACAAAAAAAACCACAATAATAAACATCCTTTCGATAACTGACTTTAGTTAAAAACGGAAACGATATGAAAGCAATATATTAAACTAAGAACATTTTATATTAACCTACATATTTGCAACTGAAAGCAAATTAATGCATCCGATTAATTTTTATTACAATAAAGACTAAAGAGATCGTAGAAAATCTCATTTACCTCTATTTATATAATTATTGTTAGCTTTAAGCTCCATGTGATTTATTAACCTAAGCAAGCATTGAAATATATATGTACAATAAGTTTTAATCAAACATTGCAACATAAATAAGAAAAAATATTTAATCTTGTTTATGTTTTGTATGTGTATCAACTTGACATTGTAAATTTTATCATTAGGTTACCTTTTTAAATATCATGTTGTCTATAAACTGATTTACAGTGTGTGAGCCTGGAAGATGGGGCATCAACTGTAATAGAATCTGCGAGGCCAAATGTTTCAACGTTTCATGTAGCCATAAGCATGGTGATTGCTTACATGGCTGTCTTGGTTACAGCAATCCTCCCCAATGCTCAATTGGTAATAATAATATAAACTCTTTAAACATTTTATGATCTACTAGAAATTAATTATTAATCAAGAAAGTGCAATTAGTAACGAAGGAAGGGTGGTTTGTTTCTGAAGGCATATTAATCTAAATATAAGTAACAGAAAACCTAAATCTAATAAATTAACCACACATTTGATACCAAAAAATAATTTAAAAAAACAACTGCGTGCCTTAAAATCTTTCTTTTAAAATCGTTTGCTAAAATGTATTCACAAATATGTAAGCAAATTATCTTGGTAGGTGAGGTAGGCTGTTATTTTAACTAACTGCTGCTGTGGCTAACATTTCGTTCGTCTCCAAAAAATATCTTCACATAAATTTTTTTTTCTCAATTTGTATCTTGCCCATTGTTTGTGAAATTCAAATAGGATTTGATAAATAACCCGCGAGTTATAACTATCAGGAATATGGCATGCGTTCACTAAAGATTATGAAAATTACTGAAATGTTCGAATTGCAGGCAGAAAATAAAATACTGTTAGCTTTTCTTGCAAGATTTCAGAAGACTTCAAATTTTTTAAAAGAGATATAAGTTATTTTTTTTTACTATTTAAGTTTATTAGCCAGGTCTTTTGGCGATCGGCCTGTCACAAATAGGGCTGGAAACCCAATTTATTAGTTGATTGGACTTTGATTGGAATTCTGTTATACTTTTTTTTTTCAAATTATCAAACTAATTCCCAGGGTAATTTCATGTCTCAGAGTAATCGTGTTATTTCGTAATGCTTTAAAGCAAGAAGTATGGCTTAAGTAATACACTTATCAAATAACTGGACTGAATTATGCATTGCACATCTTTGATCATCGGAAATTTTATGATGAATTCAAACTTGCTAGCACTTCTGAATCTTCTCAAGCACAAAGAAAAAAAGAGTAAAATTCGTTTACAAAGATGCGCTTCATTAAGTTATAATTCTTTATCATCTTTTTTTTTCATATAATGGCTTTTAAGTGACTAAATTTATTTAATGTAACATTAAAGAAGCATCCACTTTTCGTATATACAATTTTTACAAAGGCACTTTATCAATAATATGTTTCTTTTGAAACTATGAGACCTTTGGAGTTCTTTAAATAGATAGAAAATATGTCTGAAATTTTACGTCGCTTTGAAAAATAATAAATGTGTGCTTTTTAAAATTAGGGATTTGTGCTGGTAATAATGTCCTGCAAAGAAAATTACCTTTCAAAAAAGCATTCAACTCTTCTATAAATAAAATGAACGTTTTTATGTATCAAATATTAAATTTAGTTTTAAAGATTGTTGAAAAAGATTAAAATTATGTTGATTATAAAAAATTCAGGAAGGATGTCAATATTTTATTAAAAAAAAAAAATATCAATAATTTCAGAGTATAAATATATAGAATATATAATAAGAATATTATTTATCTATTTTTGCATTTTATAAATGTCCATACATTTCAATATTTATGTATTTATGTCATTTATTATATAATCCAATTTAATGTCAGGTTGCGAATCAGATAAATATGGAAAAAACTGTGAAATAAGTTGCCCAGCAAATTGTGACAGATTGGGCTGTGATTCTTTTACTGGAAAATGCAAACGGTGTAAAGCTGGTTACAAAGAGGACTTCTGTGATAAAAGTACTTATATTATATAAGATGTTTTGTGTGCTATTTTTACACATAAAGATGTGCACGTGCAAATGTTATGTTCTTGTTAACAACAGAATGTGTAGAGTTAAACGCCCATTCTTTAAAATGTTTACATACAATGCAAAAAAAAAACCAACCCAAAAACACAATAATAAACATCATTTCAATAACTGACTTTAGTGAAAACGGCAACAATTTGAAAGCAATATATTAAACTAAGGACATGTTATATTAACCTACATATTTTCACCTGAAAGAAAAATAATGCGTCTGAATAATTTTTATTATAATAAAGACTAAAGAGATCGTAAAAAATCTCATTTACCTCTATTTATATAATTATTGTTAGCTTTAAGCTCCATGTGATTTATTAACCTAAGCAAGACTGAAATCTATATTTACAATAATTTTTAATCAAACTTTGCAACATAAATTAGTAAAAATATTTAATCTTGTTTATGTTTTGTATGTGTATCAACTTGACATTGTACATTTTATCATAAGGTTACCTTTTTAAATATCATTTTGTCTTTAAAATAATTTAAGCGTGTGAGCCAGGAAAATGGGGCATCAACTGTAATAGAACCTGCGAGGCCAAATGTTTCGAATTTGAATGTAAACATACAAACGGTGATTGTTCAATAGGATGTCTTGGATATAGCGATTCTCCCAAATGCACAACTGGTAATGCTAATATTATATACATTAGATATCAGGGGTCATAAATTCGAGGCCCGCAAGACGATATTTTGTTGCCCGATACCTGACTGTAAAGTTTAATGGTAATGCTACCCGCGCCTTTTCCCCATTCTCATTAAATAAATTAGGTCACAGTTTAGAAATTTTCTATAATGTGGCCTCCTGCGGCGGTTTTCGTCAAATCTCAAAGACTAGAATATTATGATTTTTTTTTCATTTATATGTAGCTTTTATGTTAATTATAATTTAAAAGACATTTGTAAAATAGAACAATATGCTTTTTAATTTTATATCAATTTATTGAACAAACGTTGCCAAAAGTGGTTTTGAGAAATGACGCTTAGATTTTTTTTTATATTCCTAACAAGCTTTTAAAATAGAGTTATTGGCTAATGCACAAACACAAGTGTGTAAATCGTAACAGTCTGACACAGTATCAAAGAATCCCTATTAACTTGCCGTTAATGTGTAATAATTAGGAGTGAGGGAAATTCTGAGCCTGTCCACTTGTTCAATTTCAAAAGTTTCATTACTATGCATCGCACAACAACAAATAAACCTTTTTTAGAGAGCTAGGCAAATAAATTGCTGTCTAATGGAATGAGCCCTTTTGAAGATCATTACAGTAAAATTTGGCTAGGATTATATGCTCTCATGGGACAAGAATAAATTTAGGAATTTACCAGAGTCTTCAAATCAGGGGTCTCAAACTCAAATTAGCCGGGGGCCGCAGGAGGTAGTGTCTGAGTGAAAGGGGCTGCATTAAGTAATTTACACAAAAAAGTGATTACAAATTCAAGTACAGCTGTTACAATCTGCTCAAACTTTAGTAATATCAAATACAACATTAAGGGTTCTCAAGAACAATGCTTCAATCTCTTCTTCTGCGTGTTGCCAGAGCCCTGACAGCGCTTCCTCTTACACACATGAGCAACATTTCTCTTGAGTGAGGAAGCCAATGAGACCCTCAGTAAAGCTTGAAAATGCTCATCAGTAAGTTGGCCCTGAACTTTGACTTGTTAAAATTAATGGTGCAAAAGAGCTTTTAACACAGATAGGTACTCCGATAAAGGTATATGATCCACTTGAACAACCTGGATATCCCAGGAAAGGTGGAGGGCAATGCTCTCATACATTGTTAAATCTTGTGTGTTTTTCTATTCAACTCCCTGAACTTAGCCCTGAGTTCAGAATTGCACTGAAGTTCAATCAGCTCCTTTTGAAGCGCATGGGGGCATCTTCCACAATTAAGGAAAATGAGTCAGCAAACATTTGAAATGTGGCTCTGTGTGGTTTGAAGTCTGTAAAGCTGTGATCAAATTCTTCCTGTAGCTTTTCAATCACATCAGTATACTTATTACTAAATGGTGTGCCCAAGTCCATGAGTACTTTGCATGTTGGAAAATGGCAGAGGTTTCTCTCAGAAAGCTGGGCTTTCCATAACACAAGTTTTGTGCAGAATGCCCTGACATAGACATAGGCAACACTGTCAAGCTTCCCCTGGCCTTTCAATTTATTTTTGAGTACATTCAGCTCATGTGTAATATCAACAAGAAAAGCAAAGTCTATAAGCCATTTGGGATCATTTATTATAGGAACAACCACCCCATCCTTCTCCATGAAGGCTTTGATGTCTGCTCTCAACTAAAAAAAAATAATTTCAAGACGTTTCCCCTACTAAGCCAACGTACAGGGGTTAAGTAAATGACATCCTCATATGCTGACTCCATTTCCTCTAAAAAGGCACGGAACTGCCAATATTTCAAGGCCCTGGATCTGATATGGCTGATGCATTTCCCAACGTCAGACATCACATTGTCAAACTTACGGCATTTGCTGCAAAGGGCCTGCTGATAAATAATGGAGTGTAGTGCAATGGTCTCTTCCATAACCCCCTCTTCCAGTTTTCTTTGAACATGTGCCACGAGCCCATTTATTGTCCATGTGATTGATAGCGCTTCGTCGGTTGTTATTCCTGCACAATTTTCCACAGTAAACCGGCATCTACAATTGCATCACACAGCTGGCGAAAAAAAGGCTGAGCAGTTGCCTGGCCATCCATCGGAATCACTTTGAGCAGCTCCTCCATCACTTCAAAATTATATCAACACCACGACATGTATTGCGAGCTGTGCAGTGTCAGTAACATTTAAGCTTTCATCAAGGGCGGATTAGTATGCATGGAAATGTTTGCCTTTCTCGCACATTTGATTATAAAAATCACCTGAACGCTCTGAAATGCGCTGTGCCACAGCTTTGTCTGAAGGGCTAACGTGGCTAAACCGAAACTTCTTTTCCGACTAAAATTGCAGCTTGTAATATGCAATTTTCGATGAACTCACCTTCTTTGAATTACTTTCCTGCCTTGACAATCATCTCACTCATCATGTAACTAGCTTCAACTGCTGCATTACTTTCTTTGTTTGCTTTCTTGAAATAATCTTGCTGCCTCAGTAGACATGTTTTAAGTTTAGCAATCAGGGCCTCTCACATCTCGCTGATATTTTGCATACGCCTCAGCATATCTAGTTAAGTAATGACGTCTGATGTTGTACTTCTTGTGCACCACAGCTTTCTCGGTACACGTCCGAATGCCCCTGTGCTCAACAAAGCAATAGTCCGTCTCCCAATTCTCCTAAAATTGTCTGCGTTCATTGCAGACCTTTCTATTCACAGCAGATTTTGTAAAAGAGATGACGGGGGGTCGGGTAACACAAATATTTATTTGCTCTGTTTGATAAAATAGATTTTTACTCCACTCGGTAACACTTCCAAATAAATTGTCAAGCTAACAGGCTCAGAACTTCCGTCACTCGTGACTGGTACACGCTAACAGAATTTTAATAGGGATTGTGTGATACTGTGTCACATTGCTACGATTTACACAGTTATGGTTGTGCATTAACCACTGAGTTTATAAACTTTTGATACATGTATAAACAATATTCGAAACGTGTTTTCTCAAAACCACACTCTGGTCATTTTTTTTCTCATAACATGCTATCCAATAAAACCGATTTTAAAATTGGTATACCATTATAATCAATTTCAAAACCTCTAAATGTTTATATAAACATAATAAAATCAGAATTAAACTAGCCAGTGAGATTCCACTGAAATCGTCTCAGAATGGGGACAACGGGTGGTTTGCATTAATACTAAACTGCATTGTCAGGTAGCGGGCCGCAAAATACAGTCATGTTTGCCGCAAATAGCCCGCTGGGCGCGAGATTGAGACCCCTGGTTTACAATGTTTACTCCTCAAAACCTTTTCATTTTCTAAGCATGTTTTCGTAAGCCTAGTATTAATAAACATCTACTGACCGGAGACTATCTGAGGTTTGTCTAGTGTCGAGTAACCTGTGGTTATAACTGTCAAACTTTATGTGTTCTAAATGTAATTTTAAAAATGAATGTTTCTCGAGTTTCTGATTTACATTTAAAAGTAAACTTACTCTTCTACACTCTCGAGTAAATGTGACAATGATAGGTTGTGCATTTATTTTTAATGATAGCTGCGATTGAGATATCCTGTAAATAAAAGAAAGACGTTAGATGTTATGTTAAATAACTTGGAAAATATGAATTTCTTTAGACACAAATAACATTTTTTTAAACCTCAGTTTGGAAGGCAAAAGTCAAGCTTGTCTCTCCGTGAAGAATTATTCGAAGGCATTCTGGCAAATGTAATTATTTTCTAGTCACTTTAGATTTAGGAGTAAAAAAAAAAGGCTTAACTCTCACGCTAACTCGTAAAGTCGTTCTGTCTGACTTTGAGACAGTATTTTTGTGAGCGCCCGGGTAAGCGATGAAAGTGATCGATCCTTAATTCATTATTTATTGAAAGGCGTACAGAGACAAAGATGGGATATCGATTTACTTAACAATTGGATTCCAGACTATTTAACAATTTAAAAGACATTGCCTGTGAATTATTTTCAGTCATTTCCTCTGACTCAACAAAAGCTCCTTATCTCAGAAAAGCACAATTCTTCTGATTTTTAAAATAAAGATTGCAGCAATGAAATTTTGTACGTCTAACATTACTCTCTCAGGTGTGCGTATTGAGTTAGCTCAAACAGTGCGGTACCTGGGTGTCTACCTAGATAGAACACTAACTTTTGAAAGTCATATTAACATGTGATGCAAGGCGATTTTATGGAGCTGCGCAGGATTAGTCACATAAGGCCCTTCCTAACAATTGATGCAACAAAGAGGCTGATGTCTGCATTTGTGCTATCACGCTTGGACTATTGCAATGCTCTCATGGTGGATCTGCCAGCTACGCTCCTGGATAAAATTCAAATAGCACAAAATAATGCGGCTCGCATTGTTCTCCGCAAACGCAAGTTCGACCATCAAAAACACTTCTGAGAGAGTTGCACTGGCTGCCGGTGCGTGCTCGCATAGAGTACAAAATCGCAACTTTGTGCTACCGCTGCTTACATGACCTGGCGCCGTCCTATCTGAAAGAGCTGCTGACGCCTTATGTACCCACTAGAGAGCTCCGCTCATCCGATAGTGGCAAACTCTTGACACCACGTGTTTGCCTTGAGACTTACGGAAAGCGCACTTTTGCATTTGCTTTTCAAACAATTTGGAACACCCTTCCTGTCGATCTAAGAAACAACCAGTCACTGGAGTCCTTTAAAACCGATTTAAAGACATATCTATTTCGCAAACACCTTCTGGGATGATTGTCTACCTTATTTTCCAGTTAATGCATAATGGCTGAGTTGCTTATTGTTGAAATGGCTAGAAAGTCTTTGACATTGTATGCTTGTAATTAGTTTTTGTAGTGTTGCGTTTGTTTTAAATGTGGTAAATTATAGATTTGTTTTTTGTTGACTTTGTACCGCGCTTCGAGCCTTTGGGGATGAAGCGTGGTTTTTTAAATGAACTTTATTATTATTATTAAAATATGATTAAAGTAAGATTCAAATTACCGTGGATTAAATTTCTCAGAAAAGCAATAAATATTAACGTGAAACTTACTATTTAAAGAAAAACTTGAATTGCTTTGGAATAAAGAAATGTGCTTTCGTTTAGAAAAATACATCACACATTGATTTTTTTCAAACTTTCTATGAATACTTATTATCTTTGTAGTTATTTAAGATTTAATACATTTCTAAACTTTAATTCAGTATGTCAATCGGGTCGATGGGGCTTCAACTGCAACAACAGCTGTGACAACTGCTATAATGGACAATGCGATAACAGATATGGCTCCTGTCTCCAGGGATGTTTGGGATTCAGAAATCCACCAACTTGTAAAGATGGTAAGTTTATGAACAAGTATTAAATCATTACATTTATCTCGTCGCTTAGTAGGAATAGCGGTGAGTAGTGTCCCCCCCCCCCCTTTCCGATTCGGCCGAAAAAAACACACAAAAATAGACTTAAGGTGCTTGACGTGGTTGATCTTTGACGATTTGCCACTACTTTTTAGAAGCTTAAATTTCGCCCACGGCCATTTCAACGACTTTGTTTAACTAGTTATTCATGCATATATTGTGTAAACATCAACGTGTGTGTGTGTTTTCTTTTTGTTTTTGTTTTTATTGGTGGTTATCTCAACATATGCGCTTAAGCAGATTTAATGTTGGGGCCTGCAATATTAAAAAAATTGATATTCATTGCACCTTCAAACTAAATACTCTGTGAAAGCTTCCACTCTTACCTAGAAAGAACACCTTCTTTGACCAAAATCTCACGGACACAAGATGTAAATGCAAAAGCCTCTTACTTAAAGAGGTGAGGTTTTGTTCAAGTGTGGAATGCTAATAATTTTAAAACTACACACTTTTATAACAACCATTTGAAGTGAGAAACCAATTGTGGTGATCATTTAATTTTGTGAATGAATAAACTGCGTAAAGTCCCCGCCTAACTTCTTAATCAGTAAATACATTGCGTGCCTTTTTGTCCTCACTTTTGTCACCCAGCTGTTGAATATACTGGGTGGGCCACATGAAACCGCCGCATATACGCAAACTTTTCCTCAAACATTATCAATAGGTGATCATGACTGTGACTTGACACAGAAACGTATCTGTTTTATATGGCCCACGCTTTATATGTGAGACTGTTTATATAAATCTATGCAAGAACTTTTTAAAACATCTCTAAATTTATAAGATCACTTTTGTATTTCAAAAGATTGCATATTTTATCAGCGAAATTAAATGCAGCGAAATAGCTGGAAACGAAATAGCCCTGACGCGAAATTCGTCCGATTCCCTGAAATGGACTATCCACCATGGTAAACGTTAAAAATATTTGATTAAATATTCTTTTATCCGGGTTTTAATTTAATTTTGTGAACGATACGAATTTTAAACATAAATCAGAAGAGATGTATTTCCCTAACATACACGAAGAAAAAATAACTTTGACAGATCTTCTTCTTCTTCTAGGTTTTGAGGGCCCACGATCAATGAATTGATCATTCTGGCTCCTATTTAGGCAGGTCTTCTGTGACTAAATATTATACATATACATGTATGATTATTTGTTAAGGTAATGGTATTATTTGTTTTAAATAGCTAGGGTTATCTCATGTGTAGCAATTATGGAAATTTGTATTAGGCAAGCCCATGGTGGTTCAAATCTTAGCATCTTGACCAAGTGTTTCTTCATATATTATACATATATTTGGTGTCCATGGCATTTATATCCTATAAAACATACTTGTGGCCTGCATTGAGATTCCATCATTGATTCCTCCATAAGGTTCCCCGCTGTTGATCTTAACAACACCATGGCTCTTAACAGCACCACATGCGATACGACCAGTTTTTTCTAACTTTAGGACTATCGGGGCATGATAAATAACATTTATTCATTAATTCATTCTGGTAGTATCTATAGTTAAACATAGACTGTAAAGTGGTAATTAAAAGAAGTCTTTAGACCATTAATACTTTGATATCATAACAAATGTGAAGCAACTGAGCTATTAGTGAAATTGAAACCGCTGGTTTTAATAAGCTATCATTGTTTAATAGTAAACAATGTTCCAAGATTTTTGAAACGTACATGTTTTTAAACTAATCAATAGACCTATATTCATAACGAGCGCTTTTAAATAACATTACCATGAACCACAGAAATGACCAAACTCAGGGGGTGGAGGTGGTTGTCATTCATCCCTTTTGGGTGGAGTTTAGACACAGAAATGTAATTGGGTTTTTTCAGGGAAAAAGTGGGGGGGGGGGCAAAACAAAAAATAGGCCAGCTTGTTGAGTTTTTTATTACTGGACGCGGCACGGTACATAGAAACTTTAATGAAACCTGAAAATTCAGTGAGACAGATGCCCCCTTCTGCCCTACCCAAATAAAGTCCCTAGTTAGACGCCCGTTGTATAAGAAAAAATAGGTGAAGTAGTAAGCTGTAAAACTAGTTATTGGATAAGAAATGTAATTGAACGTAGTCTTTATTTCCAAACATAAAGTCAGTGTCTGTTTTCGCAATAATTGGTTGGGGTCTTTTTGGTCAAACGTAGTAACTTTTTGTTTTAAGCTTCTTATTCGCGTGCTATTACATTTTGTCTTGGTGGAATCTTACATCTCAATTTGCATCATTTTCTTGATCTCCAATGGAGCTTAAACTTTCTATACTCATTCCCGTGAAGAAAACACGCTACTTCATGATCAGTAGATAAACATTAACCTCCATCTATTATTGAGTGCTCCTTTGTTGATATCACAGGAACGGAAAGTGATAAGGGCATGGACATTTCACTACAGCGTTGCCGTATGTATGTTTAGTCAATGACGATAACTATTAACGTTAATAATACATTTTAAACCCCAGAAAGGTCACCACAGACTCTTAAAGTGTATGAATGTCATTGCCACAGAATGTCTCGGCCCACTCACACTCGGCAAACAAGTGCGCACCGTATCAGCGCATAACATAAGTAATTATAGTAATGCCCTTTGAAAGGATTTTAGCATATTGTAATCATCATGACCACAGTTTTTTTTTAAACATAATAATTTAAATGATTTTGACTTTTTTACTAAAAATACATATTTATTTCCATAATTCTTATACTTTTATTACAGACAACATTAAGGAAACAGTACTATACGTTGAAATGGCATTTTGGTTGTCTTTTTATTAACAAAGATTTGATGCAAAAAATTACGTGGATCGCGTTATTCGCGGTAATAATATGATATTTAGCCTTTACCGACAGATGAAAGAACTTAAGCTGACCCCAAGTTTGGCAGCGCTTTAGGGTGCGCCTAATATAAAAATAGTCTCCCTTGACTTCGATTGCAAATAAATATATTAAATTCCTGTATTAATAGAATCCTGTAGAATATACTAGATTGTTTGAGGCTCTTATACTATGAATAAGCCTTTTCTAAAAAAATCAATAAAACAGACTATAAATACCCAGAAGATAGTTATTTTTGCTAGCACTATTACGATAGAGCTCTAGTTCTTTATTTCTTTTTTCTTTTTTAATTTATTATTAACTTAGTAAAATTATTAATTGTAATTAGCTCTAGTTTAGGTATTGCTTCTTTATTAATGTAAATAATTTATGGTATCGGCTTTCGTTGTGTACTTTTTTTAAACAGCCATATACTTAAATAAGAGATTAAATTATCTAAATTAATAACAGTACGTAACACAGTGTGCAACTATTTTGTGTTGCCAAAACCGGTTTTTACCTGACTTTTGTGGCAAAATGTGGTCAGATCCATAAGCGATGTATTTAAAGATTAAAGATTAGCAGTAATGGGATCTCATATCAGGTCATGAATTTACAGAGTACGAATACATTTAAACCAACTATACCTCGATTACTGAAGTTTATAAAATAAGATGGCGTTTTGTAGTGAGGTCGCAAAAAATACAATTTTTACTAATAATCTGTGTGCAGAACTTTTGTAATTTATATATTTAGTAAGAAGTGATTTAGTTTGTCAATCCGGATTCAAAAATATTTGTTCAGGTAGGCGATGTTAAAGTTAGACCAGTTTTAGTGAATTGGGGATCGTGTTTTTCGAGACTACATATTTGCAAAGCCATATTTTCCACATTACTAAAAACAAATCACGTTTGAATGAAAGAAGACTTTTTGGCAGCCACATCATGACGGTGATTTATCCATATTATCGACTTAGTTGGGAATAATAAAGCTGTGTACATATCTTTCTGAATTATGTACTCAAAAGTGTGTCTTACATTTTAAAAAAATTATGAAAAATAATGGGGTTTTTTGTTATTTATATCAGAAAAAAAGATACCACTTTGAAAAAAAAAAAACGCTTTTTGTCCGTAATACACCGAGCTTTTGTGGAAACTTACACACAAACTTAAAAACCTTTACATACAAATTTTAATTTTCTTGAAAATTCTCTTTTGTAATCGTTATATTATTTATTATTGTCGGCTAAGTTGCCGTCGGTGAAACGACCCGTCTGTGAAATGGCCCAGCGGCAAAGCGATGTGGCGGAAATGCCGTTACGAATTATCATAGATCGTTGTCTTATTACACCCCTAAAAACACATGCACTGAAAGATAAAATGTATATCTTTAAAACGCTAAATTAAGATACTGTTACGGAAGAAATAACGATAATTTTGAATTAAAGGGTTCATAAGATATATTTGCTACTAGTTAACATAACCGGTGTCGCTAAGTGATGCATTCGAAAAAAAAATACTCTAAAGAATTGCTTAGCATACGCTTTAATTTAGTGTCCAGTCAAAAGCATTTCACTAAGGTACAAATTAAAATGGAAATTTAATCCTATACTGAAACAGTACTATTTATAATAAATCGTTTAAACATTGAATTTCGAGCCTAGAGTTTTTCAGTTAATACACAAGCCGGGCCTTGGATTTAAAAACCAATTTAAATTTTACAGATTAAAATTTAAAAAAGTCATCCATGATTGCTTTAAAGCTATGGAAGTAAAGGATAAAATAAATTATGTCTTTAAATTGTGTATTTGAATACAGTCTCTCCTATTTTGTTGAGCCTATTTTTTTTTTATTTACAATGTTATTCGTATTCTATCTTAACAGTATGTTACCAAGGCGAATACGGACTTAACTGTCAATATAACTGTTCAACAACATGTAGCAACGCACGTTGTAACAATGTAAATGGTGCATGTGAAAGCTGTAAACCTGGGTATCAAGGGACAATGTGTGAACAAGGTTTGTAGAAAATGACCATTTGTGTCTTATGACCATGTTTCTTGTATAGACATTACGACACAGGTGTTCTCGTTGGTGCTTAACTCGAGAGTTCTCTATGAAATAATAATACGTACGTTTACAGTTGATTTCTTTTTATTGCTGGGTTGAGTATTAGAGAATTAAATTAATGACAAACGATTACAATATATCCAATAGCTAAGAAATTCCTCACATTTTTTCAGGAAATCAAATTATCAAATCCAATGGGTTTTCAATAGATGAATTTTAAATGTTCAATTATTTATTTTTAGTGTTAATTCTTAAAATTAAGATTGTGTTCAGAATGCTGGGGTAGGGGGGCTGTGCGGTCAAAACAAATTTCATTCCATACAAGAGAATTTGAGTTTCCAATTACCAGCCAAATCCATGACATCAAAATAATCGTTTGTTTTCCTTATAACCCCCCAACGCCACTTTAAAAACAAAAAACAATATAAATATTATCAAGTGTTTGTAGTAGTCATTTCCAATATTATGCTAAATCACTTAAAAATTTCAAAATCAGTCAGGGGGTTGGATATGATCACTACCTCCTCGTGTAGACGCCAAGGAAAAGGACATCTCTGTGACCAAAGTAAATGCTATGCTCTGAGTATTTGTAATAAATTGCAATTATTAAACTAATGGGCTAAAACATTGTAGGATATCAATTCTGTCTACATTTAAATCAGACATAAATTATTGTTCATGTTAACTCTAATGTAAATCAAGGAATATGCAAAGAACGGAGAATACTTATAAATAATTAAAGGAAATGCTCTAACTAAAATGTTATGCTGAGTTTAAACGTGTTATGCAAATAGGTCATGCATAAAATAAACTTCTTCCAAAAAAAACAAAAAACAAAAACACAATGTTTTCTCAAATTAAACAGCCTATGTGTAGAACAAAAGGGATTGCGTAAATAAAGAAATCAATACATACTCGTTCAATGTTGTTTCTTTTTTAAAAAAGTATGTTTTAAACAATTGGGCTTGGAAATTAATTTTACAACGGTCCTTTATTTACGTAATTATAGGTGTGAGTTGGGAAAAGTTTTAATGTTTTTTATTCATAAATCATTTAAATTGCCTTTTAATTTGTTGCAAACTATCTCTTAACTTTAATGGGATTATAAACCCCTAGCATATAATTTAATATGGTGAGATAAGAGCCAATGACACATTATTGGGCAAAAGAAATAATCACTTATTCCCCAATATTCCGTGCGAAATTAGGATCAAGCCATGTGGTCGCAGGTGTGGCAAAACATGCCTTTTTATAAACAAAACTCAACATGTTACCTTCAATTTTGCTTCAATATTGTCTACGCTATTTTCGTACCCACTGTCAAGTGGCGTATCTATATCTAGGTGAGACTGGATGTCGCCTCTAGGACAGATGTACCAAAGAACTTTGAAATATTGTGCAAGATAAACAGTGTCCAATCTCAAAAAATAAAATCAAAGTGTCAGCGGGAGCTCTTGAGATATGGATATCAGCGCTAATGCGTTTTTTTTACTAATATGCCCGCAGGGTTAATTTAGAGAACAAATTGTTTCAAAATTATGACGCCTTGACACAACGAGTAGAACATGGCATGCATGTCATGCTCTCCTTCACTTCTTAAATCTGTATCTTTCGACGGCTTGTTACAAGCATTCAAAGTGGCCTCATTTTCCTCTCTTTCGTCCTATATTACCTGTATTCTTTCTCTTACCTAAAATGTTTCAAAACATTCCACTTGCTGTCCTCTTGGACACTACATTACAGCCAAGCGTTTATTAACTATTTTATATTATTTCTGCTGTTTTTTGTTGGTTTATGAAGACTTCTTTCCGACTCATTTTTTGTTGTTTGATGGCTTCATTTTTTGCAAGTTTTCCAACACTTCATTTCGCTTATTTCCTATTGAACTCATGGAGACTGAAAATATAGTAACCGGAGGTTCAATAAAAAATATTATTGTGCCAATGAATAATTAATCAGTTATCAGGCGTTTTTTGCAAAAGAGGAATATTTCAGTTATCAATGTGAAGATGAAAAAGAAAAAAAAAATATTTTCCTAAAAATTTGTGTTCGAACTTATCAATTCTTGAAATAGTTCTTTAATGGTGAATTCGCTCTAGTCATGAATTAAAGTTGTTAAAAATTTTAATTTTCAATAATGTATTTAATGTACAATACATTTGTTCTTTTCCAACTATGTTTATATCTTGAGCATTAAAAAAGGTTAAGGAATTTTTTTTGGACAGTAGTTGACAAGGCGGATGGAAGGGGGCTCAAAAAAATATCCAAAACAGTTTTTGATATAATTAAATAAGTAGTTACATTTATAAAATATGGTCCATTTTTTTAAATGTATAAAACAACATACTATTTTAATTTAAATGTAAATATTAAAGCATTTAGTAATTTTTTTCCAGAATGTGATGAGACCTTTTATGGAAAAGATTGTAAGAACAAGTGCAACTCCTCATGCATTGATTATATCTGTGATCCAATTAATGGAAAGTGCTACAACTGTTCAATAGGGAGACACGGCGATCAGTGTGATGGTAGGTTCATAAGCTTAAAATTGCTCTGTTTACAGTGCACCTTTAGTTTGAATGGTAGAATTTAAGCTGTTCAGCTGTTGAATATGAATATTTTTTGTACTATGTGTTGACGTTTATTTTTTCGTTTGAAATCGTTTAAAATTAAATTCTTAAAATGTACTATAAAACTATTGTGCGTGTAACTTTCAAGACATTGGTATCACTGACATGAATTACATTAGTTAAACAAAAGAGGGTTCATTACTAGTATCACTCAATGTTTACATACAAATTTATTTATTACACTTTGCGTAACTTAAAAGAATGACATTTAATTGTGGTCAGACGTTTCAGATAAGAAAAGATAATGTATTATTCTTTTTTATTGTTCAAATAAAAATATTAATTGAAAAATCTACAATCTGGTAAATTCACCTCCAGAAATCGACAACACTTTCTTTAAAATTTGAGACATTCAACCGAAGAAAATTTGTATCGCACCAACTGATAAAGCTTGGAAAAAAGTTGGGGCATAAGCTTTCCCTTTTAAGATATTAAGGCAACCATGGTGGTATCATCAGAAAATGTAATAGTTGGAACGGTGTTGTAATTTAAACGCTTGAATATTTGATTTTACTTCTAGCCGAGAAAGGTTAGTAATAATAAGGTGTGGCTGGATATTGTTAAATGCTGATGAAAAACATCCTAGCATATTCTAGGGCTGTAAAAGTGAAGGTAAAAATGGCAAATAGTAACATGACATCCTTGGTACTTATTGCAGATTGATAAGCAAATTGATGGGAGTCAAGTTTATATATATATATATATATATATATAATATATATATATATATAATATATATATATATAATATATATTTATATATATTGTTTAGCACTGGCTTCCCCGGTGAGAAATTAAGCTCTTGTTTTTTTAATGGCTCGTTCAGACAGTGCCTAACAAAGGACGATACAATAGGGAACTACAATAACAAAAATACGACAACCAAAACAGTACCAATTACAATTAATTTAATTTAGTAATAATACAATTATAAAACTAAAGAAATATAATTACAACTGATCAACTTACACAGTATGGTAAATCTTACACAGTTACACAGTACAAAGTGCCAATTAATAATGTACAATGACTAAATGCGAATGAACACATATATAAGAACACAAAGAATAATAAACGTTTCGTAAAGTTACAAATTTCTATCTGAATCTCCGTCTCTCTCTCCGTACCTTTAAATCCTTTATAGATGAGGGTCTAACGACGCGTTTAGAAACGCCCTTACATTCTAATACCATCGAGAACGTTCCATAAACTACTAGTAGACATACTAACCATGTTTAATTGCTAGTGATGTAGTAAAAACGATACTTCAAAGACTAACCCACGCCCACAACGAACGCCACCATCTGCTAGGGATCTGATTTGGGTAAAAAAAGTTCAAGCACGGTAAAAATATACATATAAATATATATATATTTATATATATAAATATATATATATATATATATATATATATATATATATATATATATATATATGTATATATATATATATATATATATAGATATATAGATAGATAGATATAGAGATAGATAGATATAGAGATAGATAGATAGATAGATAGATAGATAGATAGATAGATAGATAGATAGATAGATAGATAGA